AACACTGTTGTTTATTAAAGATTTTTCACTACTTAAAACCACATCTTAACCCTTAACCCTGATTTTTTTCTTGATTTGAATTCTTGTTGCTAAATTTTTTAACCCATTTTATCACCGATTTGATGGGAAGATGTCCTCATAAGACATTGACTTCAACTGAGATTTGTCAAAAAAAGTTACGAGCTTTCATTTTACTTATGTTCTCATGGGAGTTTTACTTTTTTTGCGCAGTCTGTTAGGCAAACATAAATTCTTACCAAAAAAGGCGCCAAGTCAGCCTTGAAGCCGAGTTCGTGTTAAATGACTTACATTTTCCTTGAATTATTCCAGCGTAAATAATTCAAGTGGTAATTCGTATTTTTCCCTTTTGTCTGGAGCTGGAGAGCAATATTTGTTTCTATTTGTTGTCGGTGGCTTGAGGTTACGTGGGCTTGTCGTTTTGCCATTTGCCTTCTGTTTGTTGTGTTGTGGGTGCCTCGTCCTCATCCCCAATCGCACATTATGTTCCGGTTGTCTTTTGGCTGCCACTCGTATTTGTTTGTTTTCCTGCACACAATTTGTTTCCCTTTCATTGGTTCCCTTTGTCTTGTGTTTTAGCTTATATATACTTATATATAAATATATATATTTGTATATCTATCTGCTGTGACCTGCAAGTACTCCAGGTTAATGCGGCATTTGAACTTTGAATTGCTGTTTTAAATTGTTAGGTGATTGAGCCGTTCACAAAGTTTTCAAAGCTTGGAAGTTGTCCATTGGTAAAGCAGCTTCACTGTCTATTTGCAAGTGTCTCAACAGGTAATAAACAATTATTTCAATTTTAAGTATAATATGAAAGATTAGCTTTTAAATGTGAAAAAAGATTTAATATATTTAAGTTTAGAAACCAGACATACTCTACGACTAAATATCATCTTACTTACTTTCAGAAATCTTTGAAAGAAGTTTCTAATTGCTACAACTTCAGTAAAGTTTCCAAATATTTAAATGGTTTATTCGAAATGCAATAGTTTAATGTCCGTTGCTTGGCTCAAAAAACATAGCCTTTATGTCATGCATTTAGGCCAACCTGGCCTGCCCCCTCCGGAATTTTAGTATTTTCGAACGGAGTCACCTGATCTGGACCACAAAACATAACTTTGTTTTTATGGGCTGCAATCAAAATTTATATGCAGAAATGTGAGAGGTGCATGCCCGACTGCTGGCTAAAAAAGGGGAGTTCAGGATGTATCGCATCGGCTATTAATAACAATTCTGGCAGTGCAGGCCGCATAAATTCCCAACCCAGCCAAGTCGCAGTGGCCAAAAATGTGGCGGCTGTGTGGGCGAATATAACTAACGTCCCTCGTTCTGAGCCCAAGTCGAGTCGGACCTGTGTCAACTGCAGGACCGATACCACCAGGAGGATCAGCAGGAGTCGCAGGGGAAAGGGAGTCCTAGCCGCAGGACCAGTCTGCGGCCATGTCAAGACCAGGGGGCTGTGGGACAGCCAGCCCGGAAGTGGCCAAAAGTGTTACAGGCAACTGAAATGGGTAAATTTTAATACCTATTACTCGCAGACTAAATGAGTAGCTTGAATTCGCTAAAAAGAGACATATGGTAAAATCCAGTTATTGGGCGGTATATATTTATTCTGTTAATATCTAACGACACGCCAAATATTTCTTAGAACAAACGCCTAGTTTATAAGTTATTAGAAAAGTTTTAAATATCATACGGAGCTTATATATCAAACAGAGCGAACGAACTGTTAGCTTCTCACCCTGTAGTACAACAGATAACGCCACTTAAATAACCAATTGTTTTTTGTGAGCATATTTATTTTAAAGTAGGTTAGATGAGAAAGGGGTACCTTATAGTCGGGACACTCGACTATATAGTTCCTTCTTGTTTTTTTTTTTTTTTTGCATATAAATAACAGCATAAGAAAATGCTTATGGCGCCCAGAGCAAACAGGGATAAGACCACATTCTGTCATTCATAACAGTCGGCAACCAGCAGGATTTGGTTCTTTGAGCGAGCCCGCATTTTGTGTCGTCGAAAGAAGAATTACACAAAACTGTTGTCGCACTCATATTGACAAGCACTAAAATGAATTTCAATTAAATAAGTTATTTTTCTGTTTAACTTTAAAGATTTCTTTATTTTAATTCAATCGGGTGGTTTAATTTTAAATATCTTGTTCGGTTTTATTCGTTAAATGAATTTGCAGATAACTTGCCCGCACTATTGTTTCATTTTTAATAGCTGAGTGGTCTGAGTAACAGTATCTAATTTTTTTTAATAAAAAAACCTTTAATGCATTTTACCTCCTTCAAACCAATATTATATCTACCAGCTTAAGTCGTATAAATTTAAAAACGAGTAATCCAAACGCATCTGCCGAATGAATTTCTACAAATAGCAGAAGCAATAACGGCCATAATAAAAATTCTAATTTTTCGCCCACACACGCAGACAAATCATTTTGTGTGATACCTGAAAAAATGGCATAACTTTTTGCATACGCCATTAGGGGAAGATGGCCGGCTATAATAGATGCCCGTGTCGACATCTGTTTTCTATGGAATGTCCTGCCAAAGAAAGAAATACTTTGGTAAACACAAACACTGTTGGCGACACCCAGCTGACGTGCTGCGAACACACGAATATCCTGGGGATTGCTCAGATACACTGATATAGTATGTCCTTCGCTTGTTATATGCTAATCCGAACATCGGGCCCACATTTGCGTTTGACAGCCCCAGGCGTTGCCTTTCAGCGCTTGATGAGCAGCCACTGACCAGAAGGAGAAAAGGACCTGGATCTAAACCTGGACCTGGACATGGACATGGACCTGTACCAATCTCAGTCTCAATTCGGGGATGATAAATTGTTGCTCTCGACGAGCTGACATATTTTGCGGGGTCTTAAGCACGCAGTGAAAACAAAAGCTCCCCGAAAAGTTGGCCTTGAGACGGTCAAAGAAAGCTGGCTAAAACTATGCACAAAGGGGAAAGTTTTCGGGCCGGGGCGGCATTTATAATGCACAGGGGCGGCCCTGGGGTCTTAGGCGTGACCACAGTCTCCCAGTCCGTTGCAGGCAAAATGCCTTGATTTATTCCTTTATAATATTCCCCACTTGCCACTCCCCAAAGCCAACGATTCTTAAAGTGTCCTGCGAGCCGACATAAATTGAGGCAGAGCCCGTTCGCCTTTGCAGTCGACATATTTCGGTCCTTTTGGCCTGTCTCGAATTTTGGCTCGCTGCCAAAAGCTCGCCACTGACATCGCTTGTAATTTCTGTCGCTTTTGCGAGTTTATTAAAAATATAAAAATGCAATGAAATAAAAAGCGCGGAATGTGGCCATCAATTTCACGGGCGGACTTTATCGGTGCTATTTCTGCTGACTCTACATCTATATAGTTTGTGTACAATTTGTAGTTGGGTTTGCGTGCTTTCAATTCGAAGTGTAGTCATATTTGTACTTTGCTGAAATTGACATGTTTGGGGTGTGTTTCAATTATGTCAGCACACTGCCATGAAATATTAATTTGAAAATAATCCTTTCATGCCAAGTGTATGTATGCGGGCTTTTTAAAATGCAATAACCCTTTAGTTTGTCATTTCGGTGTGACATTTAGCAACCAAATACCCATCTGCTGCCAGGACGGAAATGTCGGAGGATAACCGAAAACCGCAGACAAAAAACCACCAATGTTTTCCCGGCTGTCAGCGAAAAGCGTTTTTTAAACAAGGGCCGAAAATTGCAATAAATTCGGCTTACCAAACTCCGCGAATCGAACATCCCAAACGGACATAAATTCAACCGAAAATACGTATATATGGAACAAAAAATGGAAGTAACTGTGACAGCAGCAGGAAAAATATGTTTGCCGCTTTGAAAATTGCCCGAAAAAAAAGAGTATGTGGTAAACTTACTAAAAATTAAGACTAATTGGAATTCCTTGTTCCCGACAAGGATACCCCCTCTTTTTGTCACATTTTTGTGAGGCTCTGTGGCTGGCAAACGTGTTTAGGCCAATGTCAACTACTTGCACCAAACCAGACCCAAAAACCCACACTGTCAAAAATGGAACAAATCTAAATATTTAATTTGCAATTTAAATAATTTTCTCTTTAATTTTCATTAATTACGGTTTTTAGTTACTTTGAATATTTTTTAATATTTTTTGATACCTCAATTGACTATTTGGGGAATAGATTTTTTATAACTGAAATTTAAATTTATATCGCAACCAAGTTAAATAAATTAAATATTTTAATATTAAATCAGGCAATTAACTATGCATTGTATAAAATTTTAAAATTTAAATTTGATATATAAAGTGTTTTATTCAATAGCCAAAAATTAAATTTAGCTATTCCATTTTTATCAGTGCAACCTCCTTTCAGTCCGCCCCCATTTTGAACCCAATAAAGGCGTCAACATTTGCCATTTTGTGTTTGCAGAGCCGGGCTATCCAGTCAGCGGGGGTCCCGTGCAGGAGTGTCGACACAAAAACACACTTTTTTGGCTTCCTTCGGGTCCCGTGGATGTGGCTCTGATTATAAATTTTATTTACACAGGCGTCGAGCATCGGGAATTCGCGTTTATGGTCCGTATAACGAAATTGTCTACAAATTGCGGGGGGCCAAGCATCGAGTTACTTATGCAAAGGACAACAGCAAATTGTGTGTGCGTTAACTGGGTTTATAGTTACTGTTGGCAGCTCAGTGGCTGGTTTTTAGTAGGGCAGTGTGACAGGATTGCTGGAGGACGTCTCGTTTGGGAAATGTGTTTGGGGATGAAATATCTTAAATGCAGAGGTGATGAAATAGAGAAAATTTAAGTTTCTCTGGAAGCTACTTAAGACTACTAAGAATATATCCAGAGGAGGATGAATTATTTAAGCTTTTAAATAGTTTCTCTAAAATCTTTTTAAGCAGTTAACTTTATTTATTTGATAAATAAAGACTTTAAAAGCTTAACTTTGCAAATAAACAGTACTCACAATTCTTCGCATAGACATAAATAAATACTCTTTTATTTAATGAAAACATTTTGCTAATAGTAAGGAATGTTGCGACTACTTTCCTTCCAGCGCGGCAATATAGTTGCAAACTTTGCCGAGCAGTGTGCCATTTTCGACAATTGCCTGATTCTTTTGCAGTTCGTACAGACTGTGCACATCCCGCTGCTCGAAGGCGGAATCTATGGCCTCGTTAAACAATCTATAATCATATTTAAGAGGCATACAGTAAGATACATTGATGTACCCTAAACTATTACTCACTTTGCCCGCATATACCATATCCCCTTGCGGTTGTCGCGACATCTTGGTATGTATTTTCTCGCCTCGCTTGCGTTGTCCTGTTTTAAACAGACCTCGACAAAAGGATCGTAGCCAATAGGGCTTTTTTTGCTTTTGGCCAGTTTCTCCAGTTCCTCCCACTTGTGTTGTCCGGAGAGGGTCAGGACTCGCAACCACCAGAAACGCCGCTCGGGCACCTTGAAATCGTTCCTGATCCGCTCCGCCTCCTTCAACTCGCCGATCTGCAGCAATTCCAGGATGGTGTCGTGTATTGACAATCCGTTTAAGCTGCTGACATTGTACTTGGTGCTAAGTGTCTTCTGAAGCTTGAGTAATCGACTGGTGTCCGCACACAGCTCAGCCTCCAAAGTGCAGCGCCCCTGGGCGTATGCGTTTCCAATCATCGAGAGATTAGACTCGAGACCTTCGGTTTCAATGGCGTTCTCGAAATGATACTCGGCAATGGACTTTTGATCGTCCTCGGTGTTGTAAATGCCATAGAGACCAGCCCGATTTGATTCTCGCATGATCTTCTTGTACATGTTAAGCGCTAGCGGATGATCCCTGATGGTCATCTGGAAATGTACAATAGAGGATTACATAGAGAAACTTTAACTTTACGTAAGCTCATCTCACATGTAAATTAGACAGCATCATGTGCATCTTCATCTCCAAGAGAACTTGGGTAATCAATTCTGTATCTCCCGACTGCGTGGCACTTCCCACCGCCCGATCAAACTTGCGCATTTTCAGCAAAAGTGGTACATGAAGCGAAGCACGTGGCTCCAGTTCCAACAGTTTAATGGCTAGATCATCCCGTCCAGCCTGATGCGCCTTTGCTGCAATGTTGCAAAAGGAAATGCCTTCGACAGAGGGATTCTTGAATTTTTCTGTGATCTTACGCGCCACTTCTGTGTCATCTGGAAATCAGTTATTAAATTAAACCAGTAGTAATGAAGACAAAAGTAATGCCAAACTTACTGGGATCATTGATCACTTTGTGGTAGGCCCAATGTTCCAAGATCCAGGACTCGGGCAGGTTAAGGTGCTTGGCCACTTGGATTGCAATGGCATAGTGCTTGCGGAAAACCAAACGACTAAGTATCACCTCGGGATTAAGATGTGAGAACCTGAAATAAGGCCATGTAATTCCATGAATTCCATAGAAGTGCTGTAGAACCGACTTACTGTTTGAAGGTAAGCGGCATGGCAATCCTCTCATGACGCAGAGTGTTCAGTACCCTCAGTATTCGCATGATACGCATGTATTCGTCGGGATTGTGGCCACGTATAAAGCCTTTGCCAAAGTTTGCCGTCTAAAATAAAGTGGTTTAATAAGCAAGGATATATAAATTTCGGATTTATTCGATGACTCACCCTAAGCAGACTCTTCTGGGTCTCGGGGCAAAACTCAAAGGACGCCGCCTCAATGCATTCGGTGACAGCCAACTCGATCTTTTCGCGACACATGCTGAGATACTCGTCCGATTTGTAGGATTTCTCCTCAAACTTCTTCTGTGCCTCGAACAGATAGCTTGCCGGTTCCTGGCTGTTCACCGCAAAGATATTCTCCACACACTTGGGCAGGCGCTGAATTATCTCGTGCGAATTCTGCGTGATGATGCGCACGCCATCCATCTCGGCCACCAGAAACATGACAGGATCGTACGGAAAGTCGCTGCGATCTGCGTTGCGATTTACTATCAAAAGATAGGATGGATAGGATATGACCACTGCATCCGCATCGCTGTTGTCTGCATTCATGATCCACTCCATTTGCAGGGGCATATCCTTGCGGCCTGTATCGAACTCGCAATACTTCTGTCGCATGTCCACGCTGCCCAACCATAGAAGTCCAGTGTTGGTATACAGGGCCAAGTGCTGGTGGTTGTACGACACAGAGATCTTTATGATTCGGTCGTGCGGCTTCTCAAAAAGATTGGCGGTAATGGTGCCCACCGTTTCGCCCGGAAACAGCTTGATGACCTCACGATCTCTTCCTAAAAGACAGTAGCTATTGCGTCCCTCGGTTACAATCTCCCAGCAGGAGCAGTTCTGGCTAGAGTCTGTAAAGGAATAGCATAAGATTGGGTTGACAATTAACTTGGTGGGGTATCTTAATTACTAGGAATATCAGGTAGCTTCCTTTCAGTCTTGCTGCTGTTCTGTTTGAGAAAAATCCGGCCGGATGTGGTCATTACAGCCACTCCGGTGCCAGCGGAGGATTGAAACACCTTGGCCTCCACAATTTTGGTGACACTGGCCTCGTCGCCGATGCTGTACGTCTCCTTTTCCCTTCCAAACATGTCGTACACGAAGACAGTGGCATTCTCCTGGATGCAGATGAGCTCCTCCGTGTCCGACCAGCCCATGGCAATTAGTTTGCCATGGTTCCACTGTGGGGGAAATAATGTTTTTAGCAAACAGTTTTGGCTAGCACAAAATAACTTACCAATAGATGACCGGTTTCAGTTCCCGCGGTATCGAAGATGCGTATCATAGGTCTGGCATTTCCCTTGACTGGCACCAATTTGGTGGGATCTCGAGTGGTGGCCAGTGGTCCTCCATAAGGAGCCGCCTCCACTACCATATACTCCAAGTCCAGATCCAGTGGCCAATCGGGCGTAGCCAGTTCCACTTTTCTGCAAATTGGGATTAGTGGGCGTGTCCTTTAGTTGGGCTTTGGCAACACCTACCTGTAGTAGTCCGGTCGTACCTTGAACCACTCGCCTGTATTGTACATAATAGGCATGGTTTCTGCGTTTTTAGTTCCTTAATTTAGCTTAAAAACCATAGAACAATACGCTTGCATTTTCAACGCCTACAATTTGCAACTGAACAGCTGTTTTGATAGGGATGTCTCTTCTAAGCAGTGTTGCCAGCATAAATCTAGCTTTTGGATAAAAAAGCTACAATATAGCTACTTTTATGTATGTTAAGATGCTTATATTATATTCATGATATAGTTCTAGCCTGAAATTTGCTAAGCTGGCAACACTGCATTTAAGAAAAAGAACCAAGTATCGATAGTGTTATCGATTAATTCTTATAAGCGCCTCGTTTCACATGTGAAGGGCCCAACTTCACTAGCCAGTATTAAATTATCTGTTAGCTCACGGATTTTAGACTGAAATCCAACCCAACCAAATGGCGGACACAAAGGATACGATTGTGGAGGGTGTAGAGGCACTAACCCTAAATGGAAAGCCGGACGCAGAGCCCGTAGAAACGGGCACGGATGCCCAGGCTCAGGAGGGAGCACCCACCGCTGGAGAAGAAGATGTTGTGGATCCGTGGAATGTGGCCAGCAGCAGTGACACAGGCGTCGACTACGATAAGCTGATAAGTAAGCAGGCCAGCTCACCTAAACAACCTAATCTGCCTAATTAATCATCTAACTCAATCTCCAATGCTTGACACGTTGCAGAACGCTTTGGCTCCAGCAAAATCGATGAGGAGCTCATCGCCCGCTTTGAGAAAATCACGGGGAAGCCCGCCCACCACTTCATCAAGCGGGGCATGTTTTTCTCACATCGGGATCTGCACACGATTCTCACGCTGCGGGAGCAGGGCAAACCCTTCTACTTGTACACTGGTCGTGGTCCCAGCTCTGGATCACTGCACGTCGGCCATCTGGTGCCCTTCATTATGACCAAGTGGCTGCAGGAGACCTTCGATGTGCCGCTGGTCATCCAGCTGACCGACGATGAGAAGACCTTGTGGAAGGACCTCAAGGTGGAGGATGCCATCAAGCTGGCGCGTGAGAATGCCAAGGATATTGTGGCCATGGGATTTGATGTCAACAAGACGTTCATTTTCAACAACCTGGATTTTGTGGGGTGCGGTTTACATTCTTTTTATATGCATTCTTACATAGTAATTGCTTAAATTGCTTGATTTCTTACCCCGTTAAATCCTATTCTTCGCAAACTATCTTTATTACATACAATGTCCTGCCATTTACCAGAACATACTTTAATATGTTTTACATTTTACTTTCATGGTAATGCAAAAACCACCTGTTAAATCATTTTCTTTGCAACTTTCCTTTGTTACAGTAATTTATATATTCTATTTGAATTTATCTATCCTTAACAAACCGTCTTTTGTTTTAGAAAATGTCCATATACGTATGTTATTAGTATTCTACTTATTTTTATCTAGTTTTTACTTAGATATACATCCACCACCTCTTAAATACTGTTCTTAACAAACCCTCTTTGTTACAGAAAATGTCCTGCCATGTACCAGAACATCATTCGCATTCAGAAGTGCGTTACCTTTAACCAGGTAAAGGGAATCTTTGGATTTGGTGACTCGGACATCATTGGCAAGATCGGTTTTCCGGCCGCCCAAGCTGCTCCCGCCATCTCTAGCACTTTTCCCTTCCTCTTCGGCAATAAGAAGGTGCACTGCCTCATCCCATGCGCCATCGATCAGGACCCCTATTTCCGGATGACCCGCGATGTGGCCCCCCGTCTGGGTTTCCCCAAGTGCGCGCTTATGCACTCGACCTTCTTCCCGGCGTTGCAGGGTGCGAAAACGAAGATGTCGGCTAGCGATCAGAATTCGGCTGTTTATCTTACGGACACGCCCAAACAAATTAAGAACAAGATCAACAAGTACGCCTTCTCCGGTGGGCGCGTCACCGTGGAGGAGCATCGAAAGTTGGGCGGCGTGCCAGAAGTTGATGTCTCCTACCAGCTGCTTAAGTTCTTCTTGGAGGATGACGCCAAGTTGGAGGAGGTGCGAGTGGCATACAGCAAGGGTGAGATGCTGACGGGCGAGATAAAAAAGCTGGCCGTGGAGGTAAGTTTTAGTTTTTGCAATATTGTCATAGGATAAAATATGTCCATATTTTAAAAGCCGCCAGAAGAATTCTATTAAACTAGATTAGACTAGACGTATAGAAAAACAATTATAGGCTTTTAAGTTTTGTAGTTATTAGTTTGTTTTATTTACTATTTACGTACTATAAATATCTTCTACAAACTTCCGCCGATTCGCAGTAAAATGATACAGATCATTTGAGGGATGTATCCCTTGTTTTTATTCAAAATCGTTCGACTAAATCTTATTGTAACCCATACATTTAAATGGCCTATTCCTATTTCAGACCCTCACTCCCATTGTGGAACAGCACCAGGCAGCCCGCAAGTTGATAACGGACGAAGTACTGGACAAGTTCTTTGAACTGCGACCCCTGCAGTTTGGCAGTTAGAACTGCTAAGGAGTTAGGAGGACTGGCATTTGCTTGACATCGATTCTTACTACAGTTTAAACGACATTAGCTTAGATCGAACTAAGCGAGCTTAGTTTAGCACCGAACCGACTAGGGCACTCCTTTGTAAATAGCTATAATGAATTGATCTATGCCTGGGCTCTGAGCCCCAGTGGCGACCACTTAATGCATCGTTGTACTCGCTATTTATTTTATTTTTTACACACACCGCGTGTTTATTTTTATAAAGCAGAAAACAATAAACGGCTTCGATTTGCAATTGTGACCCACATTTGGGGGAGTTGTAAAAAAGGTCTGTGAATTTTCCTGGGAACCCGAAACCCACAGCCACAAAGCTACTCTCCAGGTTTTCGCTACGGAGAACTATGCGCATATTCATTTCCGATTCCCGGCAAGACTCCCTCTCTGGTGAACCAACTAACAAAATAACTATCGGCTTCGCAAAAATGTAAGTAATTTCCCATTGTGAGTTGTATGTGCTGTTTGCCGGTAACCAGAGATCTTGCACATGCGTTGGATTACGGGGGCAAAACTTACAGTGGGTGCATTATAGTTGGAACCCGTGTTGTAATAAACTAGAGGTTTTCGGAGGTATAAATCAAACAAATTTCTAAAAAAGATTACTCACAGTAGTGCATCTTTTAAAGCAACATATTTAAGACACAATGCGGGTAAAAGTAATGAGTTGAGTTTAAGTGTATTTGGTTTTAGCTTGACCAAATGGAATTAAAATAAAAAACTTATCTCAATCAATAAATTTACTGGTTGAACTCTTTAAAAATACATTTTTCTCTATATATAAATGGAAAATAAGTAATGTCTATAAAATGAAAAACCTTAAACATTATTGTAGGATCACACTGTTCATTTAGGGATTAGTCGAAATAGTAATTAATTACAAAATTAGAATTGAGCGAACCTTTAAGCGCTGCTCGACTGCAAATTGAGCCTAGGTGTTATTTTTTTACCTCCATATAGAGGTATATTCATAACTGGGGATATATATGTATTTTTTTTTAATTAAGTCAAAACACTTGTGTTTACATGCGTCGAAAATACACGCTTTATGTGCTGCGCGTCAAGTGTGGGTGTTTGTATATAGCGATCAAAAAGAAAAACTCAAACTGAAGTTGTGGCGACGATCATCGATCCCAGAGAGGTGGGACTTCAAAAGTCAGACGCAACTCCAGCCTGCCACACGCGCCTCGAGATCGCCAACCGTCGATGGATCGATCGCACAATAGCGAAGAAATTAAGCCGCTTTGTTTGTATACCTATTATTGCATTACGTACTATACCTGTGACAAAAGGATCCTCGAAGACAAGTTGGTCCCCTAATAGATCACTTGTTGACACACGTACAGAGAGGTGGCCCTTTAAACTAGATGAGATGTGGCTCTCATCAACCCCGGATGAGTAGTCACGTCTTGGAATCGAAACGGATCGATGTGGTGAGCCATTCATCACGACTGGCAGTCTCTAATGCACTAAAAATACGAAAAGTCCAGGTAAACCAGAGCTGCAGTCATTCGAAAAGCGGCTTAGGCGATGACGGATCAACTGCTGAGCTCCGCGGGCAGTGCTCCGGGGGATCCCCCAGCGGTTTTGGTGCCCGTGTCCGCCTCTACAGGCGGACCATATCTGAGCGGTGGATCTGAGAACGAAGCGGAGTCCACGGAGCAGCCCGTCCTCCTTGAACTGGGTGCTCCGCAGGCAGTTAGTCTGAATTATACGCTAACACCCGATGGCGCTGGCCTACTGGCCTATGCTCCAGTTCATCAGCACACCAACTACTCACCCACCAACTTTGCCTACGAAAAAGAGCCACATAACCTGGCTCTATTGCCACCACCACCCACTTATAGTGTGATTCCCCAGCCGGTGTCGATGTGGCATGCCGGCTCTCCAGCGGGGCATGGGGCCTTGGAGGGCAGTAAACACAGTGATCTGGTGGTCCCGCCGCCCATGTACATGAGCTATGGGGGCGGCAGCATAGCCAATAGCACGGAGCTGGATATATCCAAGGAACACAATCCCGCCTGGCGGGAGAAAGCCTTGCAAATGGAGAAAGACTACAGGCGAACGGCCTGCGATCGGGAGAGAACCAGGATGCGGGACATGAACCGAGCCTTCGATTTACTGCGCTCCAAGCTGCCCATTTCCAAGCCGAATGGGAAAAAGTACTCCAAAATCGAGAGCTTAAGGTGAGGGTTAACTTGTGCTCCTGCTTCCAAGCAATAACTTAATCCTAATCCTTTACCATTACAGAATTGCCATCAATTACATAAATCACCTGCAGGCCATGTTGCGGGACAGTTCGGTGGCCCAAAATGGCAGTGGATGCTGTGCCTGGAGTGGCGGTAGTAGTTCGCCCTATGACAATGCCAACGATCATTGGGGAGCGTAGCTTCAAATATATTCTAGTTTCTAAGTTCAGTCAAACTTGGCGAATGTGAACTTCTATATCTACTATAGAGTAAATAATTCCAATTAAAGGACCACCGAACTAAGGGATTTAAAAAGAACATATAGTGGTGCTACAGAAATCTTTAGATTTTTGTATTAAATTTTAAAGGTGTCTAAAACTATGCAATTTAAAATATATTTGTTATTTTAATGTAATTGCGTACTTTTAGACACTTTTATAAATTATTTTAAAACCCTAGGGATTTGGATGGCACTACCCAAATATATTTTTTAGCCCCGAGAAAGTCTTACTTTTAGAAAATAACCATGCCAAGTTTTATGTGCAGCTTGCCAAAGATATCACTGGCGGTAGTCACACTAAATTACCGTGTTTTATAAAAGTTCCATCGTTAAAATCCCAATTTGGAAAATTAGTTTTGAAATTACTATTTTCGAAAAACTGTTGCTTTAATTTCTCATAAGTCCAACTGTTAAATTTTTTATAATTGTAATAAAAGAAAAAATGAAGAATACAAGCATCTTGCACACCATTTTCCCCCCAAATAAATATTTAAAACTTTGTCTTTTTAGGCTATATATATTTAACGTTACTTTTTAACACTTCACATTTTGATAATTTACATATGATGAATCGTTTGAAAAACTGACTGACTTGGCGAGTATGTTGTGCATATTCGTGTACATATATATATAAACCTAAAAAGTACAACAAAACAGGAAAATATAACAAATTACTATGGAATTGTTGTTGCTCAGCCGCAACTGCATCGAAAACTGATAAGTTTGTTAATACTTATGTATAGATAATAAAACCAACTACTGCGACAGCTGTACGCACACACACACATACACACAGTTTATCCGCTGTTGGATTGAAGTAGAAAGGGGACGAACTAACAAAGCGTAACGCAAGCTCCTCTCGCTCCTCAGCTCCACTTTCGCTTAGTTATCCTTCTTGATGCGGGTGGAGGTCATGCGGTAGATGATGGAGTCTCTGCCGGGATCCATGGCAGCGATGGCATAGCAGATGGCCAGCAGCGACAGTCCGAAGACGACCATGAACCAAAGGATGATGTTGAAGATCACCGGGTAGTTGTTGTCGTAGTAGACGGCCAGGTTGAAGGGATTGGTAGTGGAGGGAGGCAGGACATCACGCTTGGCGCGCGACGCAGCCACATCCTTCTCCGTGGTCTGGACAAAAAGAACCGAGTCGCTGGACTTCTGGGAGGCAGACAGCAGACGGCTAATGGCGGCGGACAGCAGCTTGTTGGCCTCGTCCACGGCCACGGACTTCTCGCCATGAGCCTTGGCCACTCCATCGACGGACACGCGCAGCAGCAGGACATTGGAGGGCTTGGCCATCTCGGCCAGATGATCGGCAGCACCGTTGATGAATCCAACCTCCTGCAGGAACTGCTTGTCGGCGGAGTGCAGAGATGGATTCAGGTGCTTGGTGGGCTTGGCAGCCGGGGCCTCGAAGTCACCGAAGCAGGATTTCCAGGCTTGAACCTAAAAAACAAATTTAATTTATTATTTATATTTTTTTAGGGATTTATAAGGGGTAATATATCAGAAAGCACAAACGAACTAGCTACTATATACTCTTATACTTTTTTAGTTCTTTTTATTAATATTTTAATAAAGAATGCTAAAAAATTCGCTAATTTAGATTAATTAGTTACCCAACTTTCTTTTAAGTGGTTATTTAAACTGATCATATGATTCAGAATATAGTTGCTTTTGTTAATCATAGGGACAACAAAGTCTAATTTAAGTCGGATCACATTCGAGGGACTCTAGTCTTTAGCTGTCATAGGAATAATTTGGGTTTTCTAGTGAGGTATCCATTTTTAGTTATTTTGATTAAGTTTGCTAAGGTTTAATGAATTTGCTAATTGATTTTGATTAGTTGCTGAACTTTCTTTTGAGTTCTTGCTTCAATTATTTATGCAATGACTAGGGGGTTTACCTAAGAGCTCTGATAATAATAAGTATTTTAAGAGAGCTTATAAGTAAACCTTTTTTATTTCTTGTGTCTCTTGTGACACACACTTTTCTGCACATGTGATTTACAACTTTATAACTTTAATTATTACCCTAATTGATTTCGATGTAATTTTAAAATTGTTATAAAGATTAATTAAATTAATTATAACTCCTTTGTTTGATCATGTGATTTATAAAATGAATTGATTTTGATGAAAATTTCAAAACTACTCTCTAAGTGTTACTAAAAAGATTTAGGATTATTCCTAAAAATTTTTGCTTTTCTGTGTCTAGATATGTAAAATTCTCTTTTCTTGGGAATTATTTCTGAATATACAGTTTTCTATTCTCCAGGAATATATTTTTGAGGTTCTCCCTTTTTGAGCTACATTTCTAAAGATCTCTGACATAGTTATTCCTTCTTGAGGTATACATACACCATCGTCGAACTGCTCGAAGTTGATGTCGCAGACGGGCTCATTAGCGGCCTCCAGCTCGGCGGCCAGGGCATTCAGGGAGGCATCCGTTCCGGTTCCAGTGAGTTCATAGGACTTGACGTTGCCGGCGGTGGTCACGTGTCCAATGCCCTGGACATGGACCAGGATGACGCCCTTGGCCAGGTTGAAGGGATCGTTGATGGTCAGGCCGTTCCAGTTGGAGTCGCCCACAACGGCGTTGCCCAGAGAAGCGTAGAGCACGTCGCCGACGTAGTGGCTCTCCAGTGCATCGTTGCCCTTGAAGCTGATCGCCTTGGGTCGATTCAGCACCGTGAATTCGCCAGCTGCATGGGCTGTTGGATAGAGATCTCATAAGTATCATTTGCAAACTATAATCATCTCCGTGGTCCAAGATTTTCTGCGCATGCATGTGGGGAACACTTCAGAAGTCCCGAGTTTTGGGGTGTCACCACCGCCAGACGAAAATCGATGGAATATCCACTCTTTAACAGCCTTCCACTTGCGGCTTTTGAATATTTATCATTTATTTATCGTAGTTCTACTTACTGGCTGCAATAAACAGCGAGAGAATCACGCAAATCCGCAACATTTTCAGTTTTCCGCTGGACTTTTAATCATATGACGAACGACTGCAAAGAAAAACCTTTTCTCCTCCCCGAATTCTCCCCTGGCTATCATGTGATGAGCAGGGTTGATGCGGAATGTTATCGAATAGCTGATAGCCAGGGCTGCCACGGAGCTGGAACTATCGATTGCAACGGTATTTATTTAAATCGTTTTCGTTTTCAAATTTAATTTACATTATTTATGGATTATAAAAATTAAAGACTTCTCTAGGTTTTTAAAATTGCAATAAAAAGGTGTCCGAATAAGTCTATAAGTTTGTGAATTAAATTGTTTTTAAAATATTTGTGCACAAAAAAGTTACAACCTTACAGAAACCTTTTTTAATGAAAGTCGAAAAACATGAATACAATTTTTTATTTGAAATGTTTTTTTTAGAATCTATACAGCTTAAAAAGTGTTCAGTTTTGAAAGGGTCAATATGCCTACATTTACAATCAAGTATTGAAATTAAAGTCAATTTTAATTTAGTTTAATTTTTTTTAAGCGCGTAGAGCGTCTATTTCCAAACGCAGCTTTTGAATCCTCAGCAAAGTAAGTGTGCGCTCCAGTTTCAGGTTCTCCGTTTCCGTTTTCAGGAACTTGGTCTTGCACTGAAATTGTTTGATCTCGGCTCGCGTTTTGTCCGCCTTCAAAGCGGCTAAATTATTTCTTGGCCTGGCTTCGACGATAGTCGTCGTTCCATTGGCCGAGTCATCCGCATTGTGCTGCAATATGTAATGCTGCTTCATAAGCATTAATAGTAGCATGGCAAAAATATAAAATATTTACCTCTTTGCTTTCGTCCAAGTAGTCCACGTATTCGCGGTTTTGCACCTCAACGTTGGAGATCTCAAATTCCATATGTTGCTCTTCCGTTTGTTGATTCTTGGAGCAGTTCGTTTTGCGAATTTCGGTTTTGATTTTGGGCTTGGCTTTGACGGTGTCCACCTCATCAGCCTCATCCAGAATTTGTTGAATCTGGTGAGGTGAGACATTATGTGTAATTTAATTGCTTAAAACCTTTTATGGGATGCTTTGCTGATTACCTTAACTATGATCTCCTTGCCTTCGGTAGCGTTGTCCAAGCCGCCGTCTTCGTCTTCGCTCGATATTTTCTGGATCTAAAATATATATTCATTTTTAGAAAGTTATTAAACACATATATATATATGTAAAACTATAAATATATTATATATATGTGAAGGCGACATTGGAGAATAGAGAAAATTTGTTGTAGATGTCGGAACAACCTTATAACAACCATTTTAATAGATCATAGTATATAATGTATCTTTTAGAATTATCTACTATTCAAAACGACCCTACAGTTCCCATCACACCAGCACTGATTGTGGTTACTCCAAAACTTTATAGAGAATATTACCTTGATCCGTGGACCATCTTCATCCTGATCTTTCTCCACATCGGTGCGGAATATTACCGGACATCTACTTCGTCTAGTGTCACACGTTTGCCTACAAATTACAAATTAATTTGGGATTACTTGACGTATGTAAACATAGTGTGAAATGTAGGTATGTAGTGTAGTGTTACCTGTGTAACGATAGGCGCGAAAGCGCTGTATTTTGGAGCACCCTGTCGCAGAAATGGCAGGTCGCCGAATATTTACCATTATCAAAGTTCGCGGTAAACCCGTGGGTTCTATAAAAATCCTCTGATTTCTTTCGTGGCATTTTATAAAGAAAAAATTGTGGTAAAGCGCAATGTACTATACACGGGTGCAAATAAAATGGCTTCTCTACAGCTGGAGGTAAAATCCACGCTAGCATCATCTAAACATGTATCGATAAACATACATCGATAGAAAGTTATTTTTAAAACAAATCAGTTGGTGTTTGTTATTTTATTCAAAATAAATAATTTTCAAATTAACCATGGTATGGTGTTACCTGATATTCTAAAATTGTTAAATGAAAATTTCATTTATTCGGAACATAAAATGCCGTTTAATATTTTACAAAAATTCTAATAATATTAATTATTTAAAAATATTATAGTTTTTGTATTGACGCAATTAATTTATTTAAAGAGTGCAAGTAATCCCCTTAAGATTCGCATTTTTGTTAAGGAGAAGTATTGTTATTTTAATTTGTATTTATATTCCAAACTACACCAAAATATTTACTCACTTTAAAGGATATATAGTAATAAAGTAATAACTATTCAAATAATAGCAACCATCGATAACAACAGAGTCTTGCCTATCGACATATCGCTTGATTTTACAGCAGCCAATACTTTCACGTAATTAAACACAAGGCGAATGTAAAAGAAATGTCGGTGGTAAAAAAAGGCAAGCGAGTTGGCGGCGTTTCGAAGGATGCTACATGGAAAAAGCTAGGGTTCCTGCCGGCTTTTAAAGAGGGCAAGGATGGGGAGGCCAAGAAGTACAGGGCATTGTGCATCCATTGCCGAAAGTGTCAATCAAATACCAGTATAGACAGATTGATCATTCATAGGTTGGTTCCCGCTCTTTTCCGAAGTACAGTCTGTAAAGAAAAGTGATTTATTTGTAGGAAATCCTGTACGAAGTTCCGTGAGGATCTCACCGAGGAGCTGGGCACAAAGGCGGAAGAGGGCGGTGCTCCTGCAGAATCCAAGCCATCCACGGAGCCGGAACCCAGCACTGCGGCCTCGGAAACAACAGCAGTAACTCCCTCCAATATTGAGTTCTCCACAAGCAATCTATTAGATAAACTACTGGAAGACGATGAGAGCAGTGGACGCAATCCGGAGTCCACCTTAGTGAGCTACCTAACCGACTTGGATCAACTGGTGGCCCCGCTGCCATCCGATGCCAATCGATTGCAAAAGGATCTCATCAAGGCGGAAACGGAGTATCTGGAGGCCAAATCCGAGTACTTTACCAAAATGAACGAAATTGCCGAACTGAAACGCACCATGACCATGTTGGAGGCGAAAAAGACCCAACTGGAGATCGTTAAGCTGAGAGCCGAGTGCGAGTAGCCTTAGTTTTTAACCTAAAACAGTTCAAATTGATTTTAAAAAATATATAAATTTGTATAGCTATCATAGTATGAACAATAGCGATGCAGGGAGTTCGATGGAGCAATTTGTCCAGATGCCCGTGTACGTGGGCTTTCTGATCAAGATGACGGCCCAACTGCTGTCCCATCCCATGGAGCTGATTCGGGTGAATATCCAGGCCAATGTGATCCATCATAGTCGGCTTACCGTAATCCATATGATCCGGCTGATGGCCAGGCATGGACTTCCCGGCTTTTATTATGGCATTGTGGCCTCCGGGATGCGTTGCACTGTCCACACGATGTCCTCCTACTTACTGTTCTACAATCTGCAAGACAACAAGTATGTGATAATGCTAAAGCCGTACAACACTGCCAGTGTCCTGAGTGTCACAGGGTTTTGGGGCGGCCTTCTGGCCACGCCCTTTGCCAAATTGGCGGTCATTCGGCAGGCGGATCTTACGCGTGGATCTTTCCAAAGGCGCAAGTAAGGAATGCGACATTTTTGCCCTTAACAATAATATAATCATGGCATGTTCCGGTTATGCTTTCGAATAATACTGTTCAAATGTGTTACTCGAACTCGGTCTATTTGAATTTGTACATTTTGGAGCCTTACAACTCCCCAAATTTTTTATGTTTCATACAAAACTTGTTCCATTTTAAGTCATGAAGGTATTTATGGAATATTACAGTTTGCAGTACTCAAATTTTCCGTGCAATTTCTGTATAGGCAAAGGTTTTGCATTTTAACAAATAAAAGTGATTCCTTACTTTTTTAGTTACCGGAACGTCCTGAGCGGACTCAAGTGCATGTACAGAAAAGGCGGACTTTTTTATTTGTTCAATGGATGGCAGGTGAACTGTTTTTCGAGCACATCAGTGGCAGTGCTGCATACTCCCGTGAGCGATCAAGTCCGTACCCTGATTTCTTGGTTCCACGGACTAAACGCACCCTGGCTCAGCGATCTGATTACCATGGCGCTGACGGGAAGCATTATCACACTTATTATGACGCCTGTGGATGGATTGGCCACCGTAATATTGAACGAGTCGACCTACAGCCATATGTCCTACAGAAACGTGTGCCAGAAAATAATACGTAAACACGGTTACAGAGGTTTTTTCTTTGGTTGGAAACCGGCTCTTATGGCCCTTGCACCACACACCATATTGGCGACTATTGTGTACCGTGTATTAGTTGATCGCTACATAATATAAATTGGCGAATACACTAAACAGTTTATTAGTTGATATAAATACATATACATTCCCCCCATTTATTCAATAACCTTGCGATGTATAACTGTCAGAGCCTTGGGGAATTCTTCTAAATCTGCTGGCATCTTTTGCGTTGAGCAGTTTTCCAGTTGAAAGCTGAAGATTTCCGTAAAGCGCAAAACGAGCTAAGGGGGAAAATAAATACATAATCATAAATGAACGGATGATAAACAGAGATAGACCTTACGTTAAGGACTGAAGGCGCCCGTTTATGGGCCACCAGACACTCCAAAAGCACAGCCACAAACTTTGAGTAGAACTCGGGTAGGTGCGAGTGCAAGGCCTGCAGAGGAATGGGCAGGATGCACACCAGATAGCATCTCAGCATCTGCTCCAGCAGCTCGGTACACACTTCGACGCCTTGGAGCAGCTTGTCCGACTCCAGGACCAGCATTTGAAGGATGGCCTTGGCCCACCGATAGCTGGTGCTAGCGTTTAGTGCAAGGCACTCTTCCCGGCACGCAGCCAACTTATCTGGCTGTTTAAGATCTGTGGCCAGAGCAGATTCCACATCACTGCGATTGATGGTGAAATAGCAGCCCAGTCGTGTAATAAACTGCAGCAGGCAGATGGAGATTTTCGGGCTAGAAGCCATGGTGACATTTTGAATGAGCCGGTCCAGCATGTCGTCGCATTGGTTCCACTAAGGGGTAGGTTAAAATAAAAGTTTTGTTGTATAGAAGTAAAGGCACACCCACCGTAAAAGCATCTAAATCTACAAAGTGATCCAGACATAAGTACATGCAGTTCCAAACGGAGTCTATAGCTTCAATGGACTCCATGTTGTAGGCATCTTTGAGGGCATGATCATAGATCACGCTGTGCACATTGAGCTCTTGAATATCTTTGCATTCCTAAAGGTGAAACTGCTCTAATCAACTTTCATTGGGTTAAAAAATCGAAAAACCCACGCTAAACTTCAACATCACTGAGAAGATCTTGACGCCCAGTTGTTTGTAGGCAGGATCATAGCATTCCCGGACATTTAGACCCACGGATAAGGCAAAGGCTAGCATCCGGGTGGGCATTCTGAATTTAGCCGAGTATCGAAGCTGTGGTTAAAGACTTGTGAATGAAGAAAAACCATCGGGATACAACATTTTACCTCCAAATAATTGGCAAAACCATGAACTGCTCCTAGTTGTTTCTTCCAGCAATCTCTGTGTAGCTTTTGCTCGTAGTATTTTAGAATTTGTGCGTCTGTGGACTCCCACCAGTTGGAGGATAGCTTCTTGGCCAACTCATTGGCGTTTTTTAGAAGGTTACCAGAATCATCCTTGAGTTGGTAAACTGTGGGAGCTGCTGTTAGTTCGCAAATCAGCAGGAGCAGCTTTACCCTCAACTAAAATTGAAACAAACTGTAATTTTGAAAGTACGAGTAAGTTAATGCCCACCTCTTCGTGTCCCGAATCATCAGTTTTCTGCAAGAACTCCTGCACCAAGTCGTACAATTTGGGCAAATCCTGTTTTAGAAGTGAATGATAGCTCTCGAACTGCGATGCCTCCAATTGAATGTTGTCCAGATCCTCCTTCAGTTCCGGCAGCATATAGAACTGCACCAGCTCACACATGTGCGCCACAAGGGCCTCGGTGGTGTCACAAGTCATGGTTAAATCAATTAAATTTTTAAAAACGTTGTAATAACAAAACAAAATAAAGCCGGGTAGAGGTGGAAAGATATCGATATTTTCAAAACATCGGTTACATCGATGTTCTTCCACCGACAAGTTTCGATAACTCTGTTAGCACTTAACGATTTAACAGAATTTTGTAATAATAACATTTTACTTACCAAACTGTTACCAAAATTTAAAAAAAATAAAGAACAAATTTTAAAATTTAAATTTAATTTACTTGAATGTGCCAGTCCTAACTATATTTTAAAGCTACTTAAAGGAAATATTAAACAAATTGTCATGCAGCGAAAAATTATGAGATGAATAAATAAATAGGGTGTTCCAAAAACTAAATCGTTTTATTTTAAGTTAAAAGCGCTGCGCAACGGTCTGAAAGATTTCGTGAAAATTACTCATAAGACCTGTAGTGTCGGTTAAAATAAATGTTTTGATCAATGGCAACAGTACGTATGAGTAATATAATTTCAACCCAATGCACATTCTTAAAAAAGTTGTTTTTCCTGTTGTATGTGTCTTAAATACAGCAAAGCGAATAGTTTGGTGGATAAGATTCAAAAGTTTTTATTCGAATTAGGACAACCTTTTGGTGTTACTAAAAAAATATATTTTATATATACTTTTAAATATATGAATAGTGGGTAGATTTATTTGTTTTAGGTTTTATATATTTTCCTGCTGATGCAATTACACTTTAGTCCAATCAAGCGTTGTAGGAAGAGGTGCCGAAGCCATTGATCAACATTTGCTCATCGATCCAATCTCGTGCCAGGGCAACGTTCGCATAAGCTGCTGGCAACTCATCATTGCAGCCAATTCCCCAGGACACCAAGCCACTCAGTTGGAAGCGATTTTCAGCGGGTTCTCCAATTGGACAGGCCAGTGGAGCTCCACCATCTCCCTGGCAAGTATCCACATCATGCTGTCCCCCGGCGCAAATGAACGAATTGTCCAAGCTAAAGCTGGGTCCAAGTCGGGTTTTTCTGAGCCTGTCCTGACAATAGTTTGATTCCACAATGTTCAGGGGCACTCGTTTCATGATGGCCATATATTTTCCCGAATCTCCAAAGGCATCTTTGCCCCAGCCATTGGCAATGCAAGTGGTGAATGGCGGTGGAACAACTTCCTGCTTTGGTAAACATATCACATTGATATGATCATCCAGTTTGAATGGTGCCTCAAGAATTACAAGTGCCACATCATTCGCTAGATTTTTGTTATTATATCTAGGATGCTTAATAATTCTCAGGACATTTTTCTCTTGATATGGGAGCCTCTCACTCTCTGTCTTGAAGTCCCATTCTCCAGCACGAACCGTATAGGTTTCCCACATGCGAACTCGATGGGCGGCAGTCAAAACCACTTGGGGATGTATGAGTGATCCTGTGAATGAATAGTTTCCAGACTGCATAATGGCCACGGTCCAAGGAAATTCGGCCATATCAGATTCAAAATCTGTGGCTCCTTGAAGGTCAATATCTAATCCACCCACGTTGCGAATACCACAGCCTCGGTTTCCCTTGGGCTTTGGATTAATGGTTTCCCTACGCACTCTATTAAGAGGACAACATAGTGCCAAAACACCTACAGTTACAGTACAGTGGGGTTTCGATTCATGGCGAATCACTTGTCGGCCGAACTTGTCAAACGTATAGTCTTGAGTTAGTCCATCCGATGACGGGTCACATTGGTGATAAAGAGTGCATTCGCAAGTTGGTCCGATTTTAGGCTTACTCTGTGGTTCTGAGGGTTCAATTGCTCTGGGAATAGGGGTAACAGCAAAATCTTGCCAAGGTCTAATCGTTCTTGTAGTAGGCACTTGCGCTCTTAATGTTGTAATAGCACATAATAAAATCAATAAACTTGTATGGGCTTTCATTGTCATTGCAACCTATAAAATAAAACAGAAACTTTCTTTAAATAATAGGTATTTCTAAGATCAGGTTTTCCTCCTACCGAAATTGGAATTCGAATGTTATAGAAAAGATAGAGCTATAATTACTTTGCTCGATACAAGTACAGATATACATACAACCGCGAATTCTATTTTAAAATGAAGATCGCAAAACAAAAATTATTGATAATCTAGGGTTTTTCCAAATTACCATTGCTTAATGTTGTTCTGTTATCTTCAAAATGATGACATTGAAATATATAGCCTTATCACTCGTAAAGTTGTTAACAACAGTGAATTAGAAAAAATGTATATATGAAGTTTTAAAACTTTATATCAACAACACAACTTTTTTATCACAGTCTTGTCTATTTTAAAAACCTTTATTTGTACAATTATTACCTGCATAAATTCAGCACTTTAATGAAAATACAGAATGAATATTTGGTTTCTTGCAAAATAAAAATATACACAATTTTAAAAGAATTATGGAGCAGTTGTTATTAACACAAGCTAAGCTTGGGGACGACTAAAAGCTTATAAGGTGAACATAACATAGACATTGCTCTTAAAACCTTGATAAGAACTGGGATACTTGGTAGAAGCAATAATGACTTTCTGTTTAGAAATTTCGATTTGGATTACTCATCTGGGAATTTAAAGAAATTTTAAAGAACAAAAAAACAAACCATATTGATAAGAATATTTATTTTTGACGTTATCTTAACTAAAGTCATGTGAGTTAAGGTCAGTTTTTGATTTGGAGCATCATCAAGCCACAATCTTTGGGGATGTGGCTCACCGATATATGCATATCTATTAAATCAAACATTTAGTAATTTTGTTTTGCTTTATTTTTAATCATTTTTTTTTGCATATAACATAAAACACCTTGTTACGGTACTTTTTGAAAAAAGATATTAGAAACACTGGGATATAACAAAAGATTTCATTAAATTCACTCGTAATCAAATTTGAGGCCAGCACCACGAATATTCTGCTCACTCCACTCATCAAATCGTTCGGACATCTCATTTCCCATGTGATTACGCCAGTCTCCGATTTTGCCATTGCGTATGAACTTGGAAGATGACTCCGGTAGCACTTTCTCTAGATTCACGGCTTTATTTTTTCGCATGTTGTCAAAGGTGAGATGTTCGCAGAGGTTCTGGAGACTGGCCATCGGAGCAACGAGACTCTGAACGCCCAGGAATTGGGCACAGCGACGAACCACACTCGGCAGATCCTTGATCATGTCCTCGTACTTGATGAACAGCACATTCTCGTCCAGACTGCGTTTCCAAAAGGGCAAAACGTGCTTCCAATACGATCCCATCGGAGTATGGCCCTCCAGAAAGAGATCCACAAACTGTTCGAACTCCCCATTGATTCCGTGGAGCAGCTTACAGTAGTGATAGTAGGACACACAAAGATCCTTGGGATTACGCGCAGTGTAGACGATCCTCGGCTTCACCGTCTCAAATTGCTCGGGTAAAAGTGGCCAGGACAAGTGGGAGCGGGCGAAGCGGGGGCGTGGCAAATTGCGAACCAAATCCACGGTATTTCCAAACTTTTCGCTATCAAAACAAGGAGAAAGTTCAATCAGAGAGAAAAGCTTTTCAAATATGTTTGCTATACTCTTTTCAGGGGTACTTCAATGTGAGATTGAAAGAGAGAGGCTTTCTACAAATAATATAAACTTATCAGCATCAACAGGTTCCTAAGTGAGCATAATATGCACATATAATTATATTACTATTATTATAATAACCTGTATCATTTTATGACAAATAAAATAATGTCCGAATTTTTTTGAGATTAAAAATGGCATAACGATGAGATAAAATAAATAAATTTTTTTAATGTACATTTTAAATATGAAATATGAACTAATACTCACGCCACCGCCTCGTGATGATCGGTACTAAACAAGGCGGATAGTTCAATAAGTGGTGATCGCAATCGCAAGTCCTGCTCTGCAGCTACATAATCCAACTGGTGACCCAGCAGCCAGACCATCTCCTGGGCCCAAGTGGATCCCGTGCGTGGATACGACACCATCCACACATCGTCCTGGAAAACGGGCAGCGATCGGATGGAATCTCCCAGCTCCACATACTTCCTGGGAATGATCAACCGATCGGGAAGCACCTCCACAAAGCAATTTTGAGCCGGAAAGACGGCATTTGTGCGACGAACGATGTCCGCCTCGAGTTCACGATAGCTAAGCTGCATCATGGCAATACGAATCTCGACCGAAATGCCCAAAAAACTGAAGCACAATGATGAATTCAACCCAAGTGGCAAGTGCAAGTTCAAGCGAGCAACTGAAAGGAAAATGGTGAAAATGCCCCTGGCCAGTTTTCACATACACACACACACACGAACTGGTTTGCCTAAGAAACGCTTTAAACCTGCAGACTAAAGTCAAGCTCCAATAACTAACCCTCTGCAGTTTGAAATTCTCAACCAAATTTTAAATAGTAGGAAAAAGTAGTAAATACAAATATTTTATATTTTCACAATTTTACAATTAAATATTTAATATCAATTTCAAATATAGCATTTTGAATTTAGTATTCATATATTTATTTTTACTATTCCCTTTTTTGCTATCAGTGTAGTAAGTATAGATCTCTACTTTGTTAACATCAAGTTACAAACTATTCCACTTAGGAAAGTGCGACTGTAGTTGGAAAGCTTTTCTCTTGCGGTTCGTTGACTTCAAAGAAATCAAGCTATGTTGTACGAAACAACTATCATTAGAAAGATTTAGACAATGATCTATCGTTTTTATGAAACTCATGAATAATGAATGGCTGTTACATTGTTATTATCAATACAAATTGTTTGCGATGATTTTTTTCTTAAGTGTATTTTCTATGGAAAAATGTGAAACGAACTATTTAATAATTTAATTTAATAATTTAATGAAATCGGGCCAACTACAAACTTATTTCGTTAATCTGTCTGTTAGCAATGGATTAAGACAACCCCAAACACATTGATTAAATGTAATCAGTTAATAGTTTTGTTTAAATTTAAATGTATTTCAATCCGTAATACTATATACACACGAAATCTTTATCTCAATTACAGCTAAATCGTCTTAATGAGCCTTCGTCTCCATCTTCTCCTCCAGATCTTCACATAGATCTTGATCTGCACCTGAAATGGAGCACTACAACTCGTTGTGGATATATTCTGTGGTCACCTTGGCCTCGCCCTCGTGGAATCCATTGCAGTCGACTGGGTATTTGGCCTGATGATGGCGTGCATTCGCGGAAATAGCGGTTAGAAAGCGGCGACACAAAGAGTACAGAGAAATAAATAATAAATAGTAAAATTAGATACAATTTTTTTTTAATAATAAAATAGTTATATATAATAAACAAACTTTAAAAAAATTGAATAAGCTATTCATATGCGCAAAAGAAATTGGGCTTACGATTATAATATTTGTTGATACATTGAGGATCATAATTATATACAAAAAAATCAGAAATGCTAGCTTTATAACATTTTCTGGTCGTTAAAATTCAATAATTAATATTTGGAAGTCCAAATAGAGACGACCTTTTAATTTTTACCTTTATAGGTAAAAAAAATATTTAGGATTTTTAATATAGTTTGAAATCCAAAAAAAACGCCGTTCTGATTTTCAAAATTTACTTCTAGGGGTGATTTAAAATCTCTAGAGATTTCTTAATATTTTGTTGTGCTCTTTTGTCTTCTGTTTTTAATCCAATTCTAAATTCTTTCTGCAACTCACCTCGCAATTGTATGGCGCATTGATGACGCCGAATAGCGTCCAGAACGGCGTACCGGTTTCCGTGCTAATGAAGATCGCAGCACCCATGCTGCCGATCTTGACGATTTTCGGACTGACTCCGGCAATTAGACTGGACGCAGATGTCGATGTCGATGTCGGTGGCTGTGTCTGTGTCTGTCGATTCTGGTGCTGATTCTTTGGCTGGTGGTGCTGCTGATATTGCTCATGCTGCTGCTTTTTCTCCTGCTGATCGAGAGCCGCTGCATTCAGCTGGCAGAGCACGTAGCGATCGCATTGCGGCGACTTTGAGATGTATCTGTAGGCGCGGTGGACTTTCAGCACCGGTTCAATAACCTGTTTACCATTTGGATTTGGATTTGGTCCATTGTTGGTGGAGTCGTTCGAGGAGGAGCAAAAATAGAAGAGAAAACAGTAGAGTAATTAATTTAATTTGATCTAAGTTAACGATTTTGTGCAGGTGCGGGTACATCCAAACTTTTCTTCTCTACAAACACTAATGTCATTTTTTTAATACCATATTCTTACTTAATGAAGAAAATCTCTCTTTCTTTCTTCAATAACTTGGAATAATATTTTTAAAATTTACTGAATAAACAACGTTTTTTTTTATAAAATGAAATTTAAAAAAGTTGGAAAGCTATGAAGAATCAATGACTATAAAATATTTAAATTATTTTCATAAAAATTTTTTAACAAATGAAAAACTATTTTATTGCTTTAGTTAGAGTATCCATAAGCTGATATCGAAATTAGATAAATCAAAATCCTAGGTACCTAGAATTGTTATTTAATTAGAGCCAATCATTTTACCGCAGCTATTTCCTATTTGCAGTTAAAGAGCTCTAATTAAACAGCAAAGTGACCCAGTTCCCAGATAAGAGAATCGGAGAATCTGCTTACCTCCAGGTTGAGCGTATCCGTTAGCTTGTCGCTGATCTCGGTGGCATTGAACTGGAGTAATCCGCGTGCCTGGCCGAGTTTCAGTAGCTCCTTGGCATAGCCCACTGCTGGCTTCACATACTGCCTGGAATCGATCTTAACGTTCAAATGATGCTTGGCCACATGGTCCAAGAGATTCGAGATGGTCTCGCCGGGTCGCGAGGGATCAAAGTGGGTCTGCTTGGGGTAACCTTGAGACTTCAGCAGGCCGTTAAACATGATCTGCGCGGTCTGGAAGTACCTGTGTGTTCGGGGGGAAAAAAGAGTTAAAAAGGCGGACAATGGATGAGTTTCTTCGATGACGCAGCAGCTTAAAAGACGTCGAGTGAAAGGGTCGCTAGAAAGTGGAAGTTTTTCGAATCGCTGTCTAATGATGGGGCAACGCAAAAAGAAATAGAAGACTAAGAAGCCTGAGAGGCCGAGGCCTGACCCACTTTAAAGTCATGCAAAAATGTCTGAATCCGAGGGGTACACTAAGAAAAATGATTTTAACATTCCTCAATTGAAAAAAAAATTCGGGTATTACTATTACTTTAATCATTTAACCAGTGCTTACAAAAATTAGAATCTACTATATCCAAAGCCATAAGTTTTATGTTGACCATTTAGTTCTTAAGCATACTGTATATTTTTGATAAGTTAAAACTAACCCTTATTAAATTGAGGTTAATAAGACTTGAGAAGTCTGATCCACTTTAAAGTCATGCAAAAATGTCTGAATACGAGTGGTACCCTATGAAAAAATATAATTCAACGAGCCTTATTAATATACTTTTGAGTATGTTCTATAAAAGTGCTATTAAGTTGTTCATGCTAGTTTTTAACAATTATTTGAATTACCTGGTAAGTCAAAATCAAATATATAAAAAGTCATCATGGTTTTTGGCTTATCATTTTGAGGTCGAAAATTAATCTTGTTAAGACATTTTCTTTGTTTAAGAAGGCAAGGTCATTTTATCGTTTATTATTAGTTAAATAGGTTTTCTATATTATTACAAAGTTATATCAATTTTTAAACTGTTCCTTATTTACATAAATACATTCGAATTCAGTTAAATAACAAACAAATGTGTATGGGCATATTTAAGATTTTAAGAAGGCAAATGTTGAAGGAACTTTCATGGAGAAATTTCGATTGCAATACAAAATTTGTATTTACTTAAGAAACACTTCATTTTTCGGACAAGTGTACTGCCCAGCCTTCGCAAACAATTTCCCCTGGCTGAAAACTGGCAACCGGTTTTGGCCCGCTTTGTTTATTTGTTTGTTTTAACGATGCCGTTGACTTCTGTATCTTCTGCATATCAACTGTAACTGTATCAGAAGAGCCTGGACTTGAGTCTTGAATCGTGGAAGTGTTGGAGCGTTGGAACTTGGGCTGTTGACCAGTTGGATTAGCAGGCACGTTCTAAAAGCACCAGCACCGAAAAAAAGTGGGTCAAAAGGTAGCCGCATCGAACATGCTCGATGGGAAACGGGTTGTCGCTAACGGGAAATGGTTAGCAGCTGTTTTAAGTCGGCAAAGTCGGAATAGGAATCAGATTTGGACTTGGACTTGGTCCAAGAATCGCAGCCAGGTGCTAACTGCATTGGGACCGTTGCAGAGCAGAACGTGATCCACAATTAACACGCTTTGGTCATCGAAATCGAGCCACGTTAGCCGGTAGAATAACTCACCTGAGATACACATCGGGATTGGCCAAATAGCTGGCCCAGTCGGCCAAATAAAGTGTGGCCGACTTGATCCACCTGCGGCGGAAGGATTGGTTGTTCAGGGATTCGAACAGCTTGTCGTAGTCCAGCTTGCCATCATTGCCCTTAAAGCCCTGAAGGTAGAGATAAATAGAATTATAAGTACATCAAATTGTTTAAGAAAGTGTATGTAAGAAAAAATACTGTAATGATATTTAGTTTCTAATAAAATAATTGTTTTGAAATTACGAGCTTAAGAAGAATAAGTTCGTATCTTCCTTGTACTATTTTTTTAGGTTTTTCTATTTCAATCTATAAAATAAGTACAATTCTGTTGCATTTTAAGGAAATATCTAATTACATAATTGTGCTCATACAATTTAAATTTTTTTAATTTTAAGACAAATTTCTAGGAATACATTTTAAGTTTTTCTATATGTCATCTTTAATCTTATATATATATTTTTATATTACTCCATATATGTATGATTTAACTGATTCAAATACGTTTGTTATTTATTAACATTATATAGACTCCTCCACATTATCACTCTAGTATTTGTCAAGCAACGAAAAAATATGATACTCAAAACTTCTTCTACTTGTTTAAGAACTAAAGCAAGTTGTCCCATAATGATCTTGATCTTCATGATCTTGTTAAATGCGGATTTCTATATACTTCTCACAACAGCAGTCAGTTTTGAATTACATGTTTACATATTGGACGATTTTGAAGAAAACGTTTATCAAGCATTTGATGTGATATAATATTTAAAACTTACGCTACTTATTAAAGAACTAAAACCAAGGGGTTACCTAAATCCAATAAAAAATCTTACTTGAAGATCCATTTTCATGATCTGTTGACTGTAGATTTCTATAGAAAATTTACATTTATCAATAATTTTATATAACCTAAAAGTGTCCCCAGAAACCCATACAAAAACCTATTTAAATAACCACCTTCATGATCTTGTTTACTCCGGATTTCTCGTACAGAGCGTCGGCCAGTTCGGAGTTGGAGAAGTGGTCCCACAGCACGTGGATGTGCTCCAGGAATGGGGGCAGCACCCAGGCATGGCTCTTGTGCTTCTCCTGGGTGTGTTGTCCCTCGGGACCGGCAAAGGAGCTAACTGCCTGCATCACCAATGGGAGTAGATTCATCAGTCCGTTATCGTTTTCCTCGCGATCCTCGGATCCGGCAGATCGTTTCTGGTGATGATGGGTATTGGTGCTCTTGTCGTTGTTGCCCTGGGTGTTCATAAAGGCCGAGGCCACTTGAAGAATGGTGTCCAAACCAATGCCAGATTCGGAATTGCTGCGCTTTTGATTAGTGGCAGTGGTCTCCTCATCGTCACCTTGGGTGAACATTTCCAGGACATTGCCAATGATGGAGGGATCAAAGCCACCGCCACCCTGGTTCCCATTGCTTTTGGAGAGGAGACTGCCCAATCCGGAGAGGATTTGCATGGCTCCACCAGCGCCGCCGCCGCCACCTGCTCCGCCGGATTTGCCACTGGCTTGCATAAAGGTGCCAATTAATGAGGCCACACCAGCCAAACCAGCTCCTCCTCCTCCGCCAATTCCTCCGTTGCCAGCACCATTCTGGTTGGATAATGCCTCCTGGAAGAACATGGAGGCCATGTCCAGCAGCGGATTGGACTCATCCTCGCTGGCCAGAGAAGGACTCAGCGGCTGAAGGCATAGCAGGCAGGCCAAGAGCAGAGCACGTCGCACGTACATTTTGTTCTTCTTCGTCCAGGAACTTTCACAATCACACACTTGAGATACTTTTGGGCCAATTAAGCGACGCAGCCACAAAACGCGCAACACGCTCCACTGAGCACACGGAATTGGGTATACAAGATATATATATCTACTGGGAGATATTATACCAAAATCGGAGATAGGAGCACGGAGATCGGAGCGTTTTAAAAGCAACCAGCACAGCCGAAAACTTTCTTTCTTCTGCGGCTCTGCGCCAGTTTGTAATACTTCTTAAGCCAACGATTCTTGGGGCCTGCTGAAATGGCTCTCCCGATCTTCCAAGCCCCGATCTCCATTTCTCTCACCTGTTTCTACACCTAAAAAAAAATATATTAAAAATGAAAATTTGTTTGCTGTGAGTTTAATATATAACGGTTAAACCCATATATTTAAATCTTAAGTCATGCAATTAAATAAGCGTTTCATATATTATTACATAAGATGTTGTATTTCATTTCTATAGGAAATATAAAATTTTGCATTCAACAGCCATCTTTTTTATCCGTGTACGAAGACTCGCTCGTGGAATTCTTTACGCCTGCGCTTTGCTTTGTACACGTCAGGTTTGCTGTCTTCCAAGTCTTTTCTCCACAAATAAACGAGACAAAAAGAGAAGTCGGAGAAAGAGCACAACCACTTTGCTTTCCACAGACAAAAAATAAAGATAAAGATAAAAAAGGTTCAAAGATCAGAATGATAATATATAATATATAATAAGTTTCTCGAAAGCTTTAATTTAGTTGAGAATTAAGGGCACAACCATTGTTACCTTAATATTAAATGGTTAAAATATTATATTATATTATTTTGATACGAATAGTTTGCCATCGTCTTTGTTTTTCTTTATTTAGATATTATAGTTTTGTTAAGATAAAGTAAGGAAGTAAGCTCTATGTTCCTTGTTTATCAAATTTGATAAACCCAAAATTATACAATTTCTAAATCTTAAAAAAAAATTTAAGGAAATGTATATATTTTGTCTTAATTTTTTTTTTCTGAGTGCCCCTGTTCTATGGCTCGAACTTTGTTTATGTTTCCTACTACCCACCTACTTTCTTTTTACACACGATCGTCCGCTTTGAAAGTTCTCTTCTCGGAATGGTGGTTGGTGGACATTGGAAGTCCGATTCGAAGCCAACGTTTTCGTTAATGCCGCCTGCTTTGGCTTTTTATGTAAATACGAGTATCAACAAGACTTTTGGGTCTCTTTCATTGGGTATGCCATGAATGTTAAGGTGTTGGACAAGTTAACAGAAAAAGTTAGAATAAATTTTGAGAAGATGAAATAAAATTAAATAGGTTTTAGTAATAACCGGGAAACATATTTTTAAAAGCACACTTTTTTTAGCTCAAATTTTGTTCCACACTTAACTTAATTTAAACAAAGACTAAAAAAATTTATTTTGAAAAACAAACACCTGGCGTATTTAAGAACACCTTACCTTCACTAGCCAATTTCAGTTTGGTTCAAAGTTATATCCATTTTATGCTCAAGGGTATCTTCCGTTGCCCTTAAAAAATTTGTCCATTATTAAACAGTTCTTTAAGCAAACCCATCGAATGCTTGGCACATTTGTCACCTGGTCTTTTTGTGGGTTCGATTTGACTCTCGTCATGGCCCATTTCGATTTTATTCAACAAACGGATTGCACTGTGCCAGTTACATAAATTTATAATCAGTTTAATGGGTCCGTCATGCGAAGCTAAAGATGTATATATCGTACATTTTCTTGTTCTACACTTTCTTTACGTTCTTCTAGATGACCTTTCCCTATAAATCAGTTATTAGCATAATCCACATTTCAGGTTGAGATTCGTGTTGAATTATGGAAATGGAAATCTATTAACGTTGATATGAATTTGAATACTCCATTTACTTTTAACTACTTTCGACGCTTAGAACTTTTTTTTTTACATTTTTTAAATTTATTTAAATTAATTTATTTTCAATACTACCTTTTTCATATGTGTAAGTCTTGGTAGTATACTTTTTTTACTACAAATACAAATGTTAATGGGGCTTATTTATTATTTATTAAATAACTGTTAAAAGTAAACTTTCATTTTTATTTTCAAACATTTAAGTGTATCTTTTATTTTAAAATACATTTTTTTTTTAAATCGGGCTTACTTTAACGGTACAGTCTAATTTAATTGAAATAACGAACATAATATATTTAACAGTGTAACTATCGATAACATTGATTGGCAAAAGTCGTTCCGCCATCTGGCAACTCTGGCATCAGCTGTTGGGCTGCGCAGAAAAAGACTAAACACTTCGTTTTCTTGTTATTGTTGAAGAAACTCCATATTTTAACTATTATTGCGGGCAATTTGGATTGCAGTTGCTGGACAGGATGGGCAATCAACTGGTGGGCATTGCCCCCTCGCAGATTTACGCGGTGGAGCACTATTTTTCCGGCCAGTTCGGTTCCGAAATCACCTTCAGTTCCAAGTGAGTGGAAAAAAGCAGTAATTTTCCGAGGAAAATTGTTGACACCCACGAATCATGAATTTTCCACACAGCATGGGCAGCACGCGTTTCTTCAAAGTGGCCAAGGCCAAAACGGATGAGGGTCAGATAGTGGTCAAGGTGTTTGTGAAGCATGATCCCACTTTGCCACTGGAGGACCACAAGGAGCGGCTGGAGGGCATCAAGAAGACACTTTCCCTGGCAAATGCCGTCAATTGTTTACCCTTTCAAAGGGTAGAGGTTTGTTTAATAGACTCTTTTGTTAATCATACTTATTATTCATCGGCTTACAGTCCATATACAATGTGCCCACAAAACCAATTCTCGTTCATTAATTGATCTAGCTTATCTTCTTCTATTTTGAGTCATAACTCATCAGTAATTAGGTTATTCCACAAAATTGTCAAACAAAAATAAAAGAAGAATTAAAGAATCAAAATCATCGAAATTAAAATTGAAACACTTTTGAAGACTGCTATCTTATGGATTAAATGTTTAATAAGAGCTAAAAATTGCGTATACGTAGTCAACATATTCTTTTAACATCTATTCTATTTGCAGCTCATTGACAAAGCCGCCTACATAATGCGGGAGTATGTGAAGCACAGCCTGTACGACCGCGTGTCCACACGCCCCTTTCTCACGGTGCTGGAGAAGAAGTGGATCACATTCCAGATACTGTGCGCCCTGAACCAGTGCCACAAGCAGAAGATCTGCCATGGGGACATTAAGTTGGAGAACATCCTGATCACCTCGTGGAACTGGATCCTGCTCTCGGACTTTGCGTCCTTTAAGCCCACTTATTTGCCGGAGGACAATCCGGCGGACTACACATACTTCTTCGATACGAGTAGAAGGAGAACGTGCTATATAGCACCCGAGAGATTTGTGAAAACACTGGCCTCCGATGATGATGGGGGCAATGGCAACATGTCGGTCATTCACACGGATTCCATTATTCGCCTGGCGCCCAGCTATGCTGGCAACACTTTGCTGCCAGCCATGGACATCTTTTCGGCGGGCTGTGCCTTGCTGGAACTTTGGACAGAGGGCACGGCCCCCTTTGAACTCTCCCAGCTGTTGGCCTACCGGCGCGGTGAACGCGATCTGGTGGAGAAGCATCTGGCTGGCATCGAAAACGAGAGGCTGCGCACTCTGCTGGCCTCCATGATCGACATCCAGGCGATAAACCGCAAGAGCGCCGAGGATTACTTGGATCAGGAGCGTGGTCAACTGTTTCCCGAGTACTTCTACTCCTTTCTGCAGTCTTACCTGCAAATGTTCAGCTCGACGCCGATCATGTCGCCGGATGACAAGATACAGTGTCTGCACAAGGACATTGGACATTGCATAAAGGTTCTGACACAGGCACAGGATATCTCGCCGAAGGAGGACGATAAGGATGGGCGGGAACAGGAGAAGAAAGATCCCACGCTGTGTGCTCGACTGCCGCCGGAACACGATGGCCTGATTTTGATCATCACAGTGGTTACATCCTGTATTCGAGGTCTCAAGCAGTCGAACACTAAAATTGCAGCCTTGGAACTTCTGCAGAAGCTGTCCAAGTACACCACTTCGGAGACCATCCTGGATCGCATATTGCCCTACATTGTAAGTACTTTCTCTTTTTTTAATGTTTTCAACCCATTAATGTAAGTTTTAAACTTTTTTGTTTAATATACAAAAACATTTTGTAATAATGGGAAACCATATTTTTAAAATAGCGCTTTGGCTAACCCTATTAATTTTGTTTTTTTTATTTATCTGAAAATTAAAAAAAAAAAAAAACAACATTTTTATTATTTTAAAAAGAAGTTTATACAAAAATATGTTTCAGGAATCGTCACAAAAATAACTTTATACAAGTAAAAAAATGGTTTTCAATTCTCTACAATATTTTTGAAATAATTTAAAAAAATACACCTTAAAAATTCTAGATCGCCTTAAAATGTTTTACTTTCCAACATAAATTGTATTTACAATCTTCATCATTATTTTGCAGCTACATTTGGCCCAGAAATCGCCAGCCAAGGTGCAAGTTCAGGCCATCGAAACACTAACATCCTGTTTGGGCATGGTTAAGGACATTCCGCGCAGCGATGCAAACGTATTTCCTGAATACATCCTGCCTTTTATTACGGAATTATCAAGCGAGTCGAGTGCGGTGATTGTTCGCGTGGCCTTTGCCCGTAATATTGCTGCTCTGGCCAAGAGTGCTGTCTACTTTCTGGAGGAGACGCAGCGAAATGCTCCGAACGAGATGCCCACTCCAAGATACGAAGCGGAGTTGAATGCCCTCCATGATATTGTCAGACAGGCGGTACTGAGTTTGCTTACGGATTCGCAGCCGGTGGTCAAGCAAACTCTGATGGAGTCGGGCATATGCGATCTGTGCGCCTTTTTTGGCAAGGAAAAAGCCAACGATGTGATACTGTCGCACATAATGACCTTTCTGAATGATGAGGACAAGAACTTGAGGGGAGCTTTCTATGACAACATTGCCGGAGTGGCTGGCTATGTGGGATGGCAGGCGTCGGATATTCTGGTGCCCCTGTTGCAGCAGGGATTCACGGATCGCGAAGAGTTCGTCATCGCAAAAGCCATACGTGCGGTCACCATACTCATCGAACTGGGTCACATTAAGAAGCCGGCGGTGACGGAAATTGTCCAGGAGACAGCCTGCTATCTCTGCCATCCCAATCTGTGGGTTCGTCACGAAATCTGCGGCATGATCGCCACCACTGCCCGCAATCTCAGTGCCATCGATGTCCAGTGTAAGATTATGCCCGCCATTGGCGCTTTTCTCAAGGCACCACTCATCCAAGTGGAGAAGCCACACATTCTTTTGGACTGTGTGCAACCGCCAGTGCCGCGGCAGATCTTCGACAGCGTGCTGCGCTTCCAGGACATTCATCACTTCCTCAGGGCGCTGGAGGATCGGTCGAGGGTGCGTAGCCAGACCAGACATGGAGCTTTGCCGCAGTACGAGGAAATGGGTCAGACCCTAAGGAATGTGAGTACTAAAGGAGTTACCTCCAGGTGCAGGATACTTTTGGTACTTTTTTTTTAGACTAAAACTCCTAAACAGTTTTAAAGAATCAATGCTTATATCTTGTCACTTTTCGGAACGACTTTAAATTTTAAAAATATTATTAAGTGGTGGTAACCCCTTAAAGTTTAACTTTTATATTTTTTTAATAAATTTAAATCCCTTTTGCAGCTTTTCAGACGCCTTAGCTCTGAGGGATTGACGGACCTTATAGAGATGCAGCTGCTGGCCATGAACCCGTTCCTGATCGCCATGAAGCACAAGTCTCTACAAGATCTGGACGACACTGCCTCTGGCAATGGGCGCATCATGGTCAGCCGCAAGCAAGTCGCTTGCCATGAGTATCCGCTGGCGGACAAGGCCACCAAAATGCCCGCGGAGAACCGTAAGTGCACTTTTCAAATATTTATTTATGGTTTATGGTTATTAAAAGTTCTTATAAATTACTTCAATTTCATTAAATATTTTTGCTCAACTCAGTAATGGCTTGTATGAACTTCTCAGATATTTTTAGTTCTGGATTGTGGGAATTTACACGCTGAAGATTAATAAGTCCAGGGAAGACTTTCAAATTGCTAGGTTACACTGATAAAGTTTTATCGTTTTATATCAAGAACCATATTATCATTGCCAAAATCAAAACATATTTTTGTTTCTCAATCAACGACTTTGTTTTATTGATTTATATTTGCATTATAAATAAATGTTATTTTTTCTTAACCAAAGTTTTTTTTAAATTCGTGTGCGAAATAAAATTGTATATTTCATTAACTGCTTATGTTTTTGATTTATAATTAAACGGGTAAACCTATTCCCTTGGTTTTAAATGCAAAATAACTATTTATATGACTGAATATGAATACTTAAGTCTAAAAGAATAAGTATTAACTAAAATTATCAATAAAGTCGATAGTATGAATCGGAAACCATATCCTAGATTTGATTTTATTTTTGTATAAATTAATCATTTAATTAACGCTTTAACTAATTATGATTTTAAGAAACCAAATGTTTGTCCAATCAAAAATGGTAAAGAATTAAATGTTCAGAAAATCTAGTTATTATTATTGATAGTATAATTTTTATTTAAACGTCCTTGGTCTACGAAACATTAATTGATGGTAATTCCTTTTCTAGAAAAAAAACAGCTTATAATAGTCTTGAAATTTAGAAGAATAAGTATGAATTATTAGAATGGGTTGTTTAAATACTGATAGTATTATTTGCATTAACATCTGAACCTATGGTCTTCGAACCAAATTATTAATGCTAATTTTCTTTGCAGGATCCAGCGAGGGACCCACATTGGTGTCACCCGCCTCGGATGCAGCTATTACGCCACTGGGTGCTGGCGGTATGGCCGGCAGTCCAGCGTCCGGAGCCGTAGTCCTTGGTGTTCCGACGGCCACCGTGAGTGCGGCCACTTCTCTGGGGGAATACACGATGCCGGAGCGAAACTGCTGGCTGGAGCGATCCTCCGAGTGCCGCAAGGATCTCGAATCGCTGACGGCGAAGATCAAGATGCGCTACAATGTGCTGGCCATCTCGCAGCGCTGCAGTTACGACAAGCTGGTGACGCCCTATCCACCTGGTTGGCGGATGAGTGGAACCTTGGTGGCCCACCTGCACGAGCACTCGGAATCGGTGATCAAGCTGGCTTCGCTGCGTCCCCACGGCTCTCTCTTTGCCAGCGGTAGCATAGACGGCACTGTGCGATTGTGGGACTGCAGCAAACTGAACGGCAATCAGGGGGTGAATAAATCCAGGCAGGTATACTCCGCCAATACACCGATTTACGCCCTGGCCGCCTGTGATAGCGGACAATCGCTGGCGGTGGGCGGCAAAGATGGCAGCATGCTGATGATGCGGATCGATCGCAACTCGGCCAAGATGACGCTCCAGCAGGCCCTGGATCAGAAGTAAGTAAATCGATGGGGAGTATCACAGAAATCACTAGGGTTTTTAAACTCCTTAAGAAGCTGCTTAAAAGTATGCAATAGAAAATAGATCGTCATTTTTCGTTATTAGTTCCACGGTCTTGAATATTAAAAATATATTGTTGCATACTTTTACACAGTTTTGAAACTAGTGACTCCCCGAATTAATTAATTACTGTCAAAGACTCAAAGGCTCGTATATGTTAATATATCCTTACTAACATGGTGACTAACCATGTTTTTTCATACTTTTGACATTCAACGCAAAGATAATTAACTTCATAATGTTGCTGAAAATTTGCACAGACAAGAATTATAAAATAATATGCAATAATGATAGCTTTGATGGAATCTCACTAAACTTAATTGAGTAATCATGCTCACTTTTTACAATGCCAACTGTTCACAATCTACCTAGAGATAATTAACTTCATAATTAAATTTAACTTTACCTTATTAGTTTTGAGAAAAGGTTTGTGTTTTTTTATTTTTGATGAAGTACTCTGTTTATTTATGAATTATTTTCTCCCCTTTCAACCGTAGTGATCACAAAGACGGCCCCGTTGTGGACATGCATGCCTACGACCAGGCCACACAAAGTGTCATTGTGTACGCCACGCTGTACGGCGGAATTGTGGCCTGGGACACACGGATGCAGCACAGCGCGTGGCGACTGCAGAACGAACTCCGGCACGGGGTGATCACCACCATCTGTGCGGATCCCACGGGCTCGTGGTTGGCCACCGGCACCAGTGGGGGCAAACACATCTGCTGGGATCTGCGCTTCCGTCTGCCCATCGCGGAAATCAAGCATCCGGCGGACTCGTGGATCAGGAAGGTGGCCTGCCATCCCACGGAGCCCTCGTACCTGATCTCCGCCTCGCAGTCAAACAACGAGGTGTCCGTGTGGAACATCGAGACGGGTCAGCGCCAGACGGTGCTGTGGGCCAGTCCCGCGGCCGCTTTGTCCAGCGCCAGTCCCAGCGATCCGGCCACCACATGCGGCATCCTCAGTGGCGTGGTCGACGGCTCGCCCTTCATCCTAACTGGCAGCTCGGATCAGCGCATCCGGTACTGGGACATCGGCAATCCGAAGAACTCCTCGCTCAAAGTGCCCGCCGCCAATGACAATCTAGCGGACGTGGCCTTCAACTACAGGTACTTATCTATGTACTATGTTTTTTTGGCATATTTTTAAAGATTATTTATCTATAACATTTCAAGTCGGTCCGACTTATAAAAAAATTGGTTTCTGATATATATATAGTATTCAACTTTAAATCATTGTCCAAAATAAGACAAATTTTATTTATAGAGCATACTTATACGTCTTCTATCCTTTTTAGTGCCCGCCTAATTGATGGCAGCCAGATGGTCGAGGAGCAAATAATTTCCATGGCCAGCACGGGTGACTCGCAGCCGCTGCGCTCCTCCACGGAGGAGAATCCTCGCTCCGGGCCGGATATGCCCACGGCGAGTCACCACGACGCCATCACGGATCTGCTGATGTGCAAGGACAAGGGCCAGATCTACATAGCCTCGGCATCGCGCGACGGTGTCATCAAGCTGTGGAAGTGAGCTGCCCGCTTTATAGTGTTTAATTATTCAACTGTGATTAGCCTAATTAACTGCAATATGTGTAACTATTTAATAAACAGTTGCTTGTAATCTGTTGCCCCCTTCCGCTTTTATGTAATGAGAGCAGAAGTCTAATGAATTCGCTCCGGATGACAACGTTGCATTTTTCACTGCATACTTTTAGACACGTTTAACACTGATTTCAAAAACCTTAACGATTTTTGTAGCACTTCTGATAGTTTGAATTCCTCCTGTGCACACTCGGAAAAGTTATAGTAAGTTTTCAAAAGTTAAATTTAAATACATAAGCGATCGTTTCTAATTGATCGATTTTTTTTCCAATTGTTGGGTTTAGTCGCGGCTAAATGTGAAACCTAAGTTCCGCACCCATCCCCTAAGCCATTAGAATCGATTACCCACAGATATCGATAGCTCCATTAAAAATATCGAATAAACTGTACTAGTAGAGTGCGCGTACTTTATACAATTAAAACTGTCCAAGCAAGCAAAGAGGAAGTAAGCATTTTCCCGCTCTCCGAAAACAAGTAATTTTTTCGCCTTCCGATCGGCGACTAATTTGGTTTTTCTGCATACATTTTTCCAGCTCGATTTTCGGCAAACAAGAAAGCGGTGAAGAAGAAGAGAGAAGGCAAGCGAAAATAAGGCTACTATAGTGTGCGTGTGCGTTTGTTTCTGTACTCGCGGTTGTGTGTGTGAAGGGACGCCGCTAAAAAGGCGCAGAAAAAAAGAATATTTTTTATTCACTTGCTGATTAAAACCCGGAAGATGAAGGAAGTTGCTGTTAAGAAACGCGGTCGCCCATCAAAAGCTGCCGGTGGAGGAGCCGTGGTGGCTGCTGCATCGCCGGACGTCAAAAAACGCGGCCGTCCCGCCAAGAATAAGGGCTCCAGTTCACCAAACGGGGGTCAGCGGGGTCGCCCGCCCAAGGCGGCCAAAATCACCGAAGCCGACGATGAGGATGAGGATGAGGTGCAGGAGCCGGCTTCCGACGAGGAGCTGAACAACTCGCCTTCAAAGGGGAGGGGTCGTCCCACGAAGAACCTGCCCAGCGCAAGCGAGGAAGAAGGTAAGACTTATTGCGCATTCTTGTGCAGTTGAGCATTTTTGTACAGTACGCACTCAATATGCAAAAACAACAATCGGTAAAGAATTGCATGCCAAAAACTTCAACAAAAAAGATCATTTTGACAAATGACATTTATTGTGTTTGTAATGCCAAAAAAAAAAATGGCGCAAATGCCAAAATTTTCCCAAAACGAAATTTTTGCAAAAACATTGCTTAGCTTGTTATTGAAAATATATATAATATATAAAAAACTCGATCGTTTTGAAACTCAGACATCTGTGAAATATTTAAATTAATTTGAAAAAAAGAGTTTTAACTTGTTTTTTGCTTTAACAAATTTTATATATACACTTTTTTTTTTGCTTAAGTGAATTAAAATGTAGATATGTATGCAATAACTCAGGATACAGATAAAAATGAAGTTAAAAATGTTTTCATAAAACATTTGTGAAAACAACGACATTTTTGTTTCCAAATCTTTGTAAATTGTTCTGTATTTATATAAACAGTACTGCAATATTATGCAACAACTTATTGCATACTTAATTTTTAAGAGGTTCAAAGGCAGGGATGTACTTTTTAAGTGTCCTAAAATGAAAACATTTTGATGTTCATAAATGGTAGTCAGGACTGACTCCAAGACTTTCGTTGTCCATTAATTTTTAGAATGACTTTTATCAATTTAAAATTATTTTTAGAATGACTTTTAACAATTTTAAATTATTATCTAAACTATTAAAATCAGAATTATTAAAATCTTTTTTAGAACTTCAGCCTTCCCTAAGAGAATATTTCCTTCGAAAAAGACGGCGTCGAAGAATTATAAAATATTGCTATTAAGAGCAACATATTTAAGTTTTACAACAATTAATTGCTTCGGTGGCAATATTACAGTGTCCTAATTTAATTTTCGCACTCCACATCTATTTGCATAATTTGCCTAACCTATACCATATCCCGCCTCGTCCCTCAGAAGACCAGAACGTCAACGATGATGATGGCAGCGTTGAGGAGCCGACTGTAGCCGTCAAGCCTAAAAGGGGAAGACCGAAGAAGGCCGTGTGGAATGGCGAAGGAGAGCCACCGAAGAAGCGTGGTCGTCCGGTAACTGGAAAGGCTGTTGGCCCCGTTCCCTATGTGCCCACCGGCCGTCCACGTGGTCGTCCGCCAGCGAATGACTCCACTGGCAGCCACGCTTACGTGCCCAACGGACGCCCACGTGGTCGTCCAAAAGCCAATGCCGCTCCAGTCGTTGCGAAACCGGCGGCCGTTAACACTAGCGATGATGAGGATGAGCACGACAAGGACGACGAAGAGGAGGAGGAAGGCGTGGAGGGGCCGAGCTCACCCGAGAACAACTAAGGGAGACGTCCTGAAATGGAACTCCTCGGTCGTCTTAGCCATGACGAATCGGTAGCTGCCTAAAAATTAAAAACACACATTTCCAATCACCACCACCCCCCAAAATATACAAGCTAAGAAGTGAATATTGAAAGGAAAAAGGAGAGAAAACCATTGTCTGCAAGTAAGAAAACAAGGAACTTAACAAGACCACAAAATCAAGAAAAAAAAAAAAAACCAGGGTAGGACTCCTGAGAACCTTCCCCCTCCTCAAACAATAAAAACAAACAAACCATTGTTGATCCTACGGTCTTGTAAATCTAAAATGTATTGCGTAGTTTTACACAACATTTTAACTAGATTCAGTTTTGAAACTAGTGATTCCTGCAAAACCCCGAAATTTTAAATTACTATCTAGGACTTAAAACTAACTAACTTAACATCGTTTAGTTACCATTTTTACATTCGACGAAGAGATTATTACCTTCATAAAGTTGCTGAAAATATGTACAGACAAGAAGAAATAAAGATTGATTTTATGAAATCTCACTAAACTTAATTGAGTAATCTTGCTAACTTTTTACAATCGACTGGTGCCAAATATTTGTACACACAAGAATCATAAAACCTTTTTTTAAAAAACTTAATTTAGTCATTATGCTAGCTTCTTACAATCTACCTAGAGATAATTATCTTCATAACTATAATAAATATTTGTACAAAGAAGAACAAGCAACTCAATGCAATATGTTGTGCTAGAGAAATCGCTAAGGTTTTGAAATTAATTTAAATATACTGTTTATTGGTAAATGGTAAATGAATTTTTATTTCATTGTGTTCAATAATAAAATATTTGGACTGCATACCTTTGAGCACCTTCATAATTTATTTCAAAACTTTTGTGATTTCTATACTTTTGCAGAGGGCATTAAAATACCGTAATAATTTAAGTCAGAAGTTTTGCAAAGCAGTGAAGGCGTCATTCCCGACCTTATCATGTATATATATTCCTGATCAGAATCACTAGAGAGTCGATTTGTCCCTCCGTCCGTTTCCACGCAAACTAGTCTGTTTTAAAGCTATTTACATTATTACATTATCGGGAAAAAAATGGAAACAAAATTATAACTATGCTGTTTTGTAATTTTCTTCGAGAAATAGTAACGGTTTAACTATAATTAATGGTTGACTATGACAGTTAGCTACCAGGGGATCAATCGAAATATTAAAAAAAAAACAAGTGACAAAAAATTTAACTTCTATTTTGGAATATTTCTTTTAAATTCTTTTGGTCATAGTAAGGGTTTATAATTCAGAATTACGCTTTTTATTTTATCAAAATCGGAAAACGATATCATAAAGCTGCAATAGGAACGATCCATACTCCTAAGTTATCCATATCGTATATCCTATACATGCGAGAACTTTTATAAAACCAAACTGCATAAAGTTAAAATAAAAACCAACGGACAAAAAACTGCAAGTTCTTAAAATTTAAATTTTAAATCGAATGCGATCGTTTCTAGTGGATTGATTAGTTTCCTCCGGCTGGGTTGAGTCGCGGCTAAAAGTCAAATCAAAGTACCGCACCTATCTCTAAAGCCATTAAAATCGATTACCCACAGGCATCGATAGCTTCGTTAAAAATATCGAATAAGCTGTACTGGTAGCGTGCGCGTATTTTATACAATTAAAACGTCCAAGCAAGCAAGTAAGCATTTCCCCGCTGTCTGAAAATCCAAATTTTTCTGCAAATTTTCAACAATATTTTAAGGGATTTTTGCGGCGGCCGATCGGCGACTAAATGTGTTTTTCTGCATATATTTTTCCAGCTCGATTTTCGGCAAACAAAAAAGCGGTGAAGAAGAGGAGAGAAGGCTAGCGAAAATAAGACTACTATAGTGTGCGTGTACAAGAGAGAGCGCGTTTTAGCAAGCGTCTGTGTTTGTGTGTGTGTTTCTGTGCTTGCGGTTGTGTGTGTGAAGGGACGCCGCTAAAAAAGCCGCAGAAAAAAAGGATTTTTCTTTATTCGCTGGCTATTTAAATCCCGGAAAATGGAGGAGGTTGTTGTTAAGAAACGCGGTCGCCCATCAAAAGGAGGAGGTGGCGGATCGACAGCCGTGGCTGCTTCTGCATCGCCGGACGTCAAAAAACGCGGCCGTCCCGCCAAGAATAAGGGCACCAGTTCGCCAGGCGGTGGACAGCGGGGTCGTCCGCCCAAGGCGGCCAAAATCACCGAAGACGACGATGAGGATGAGGTAGAGGAGCCGGCTTCCGACGAGGAGCTGAACAACTCGTCCGCCATTACGCCTTCGAAGGGCAGGGGTCGTCCCAGGAGCATTGGCGGCGGAGGCGATGCAGTCAAGACGCCCGGCTCCGGGTCCGCCAAAAAACGCAAAGCCGGCAGGCCCAAGAAGCACCAGCCCAGCGATAGCGAGGAAGAAGGTAAGCCTTTTGTTGAGCATTCTTGTACACGCAATACGCCAAAACAACAAGCGAGCAAAAAAATTCATGTTCAAAGCTTAAAGAAACACATTTTTTCAAAAAATATTTTGGTAAAACAAATCGTTTTATTTGTTATAGTAAAATGGAAAATAAATTAAAGAAAACTAGATTTACTTGATATTCGGACATGGGTCATATATTAGGATTTACATATTTAAAGAAAAAATGTTTTTATTGAGCATTTTTGTACATTCTTGACCAAAAAAATTGCAAGTTCAAAACTTGAACAGAAAAATCTATTCGAAAAATACCATTTTATTAGCTTTTGTTAACTTGCCGTATTAAATAATTTTCCCTAATAGATTTGTTTTTATCTAATCTATTAAAATAAGAACGTTTAAAATCAGAACTGCAGACTCCTGTAAGGCAATATACTATCCACGTGCTGTATATAGTTTAGCAGTAATTGATTTGAAAAAGGCGGCATTTACGTTTTGTTATCGTTTTCTTGTTTGTTGTACATTAAATCTCACCCTAATCTTAACGCTACCTGCGGGCTTACACAATACTCAGGTAGTCCCGGTTTCAACCTTGGCCATTTCGCTCCAGACGGACGTTTTCGTTGCGATGGAAACCGTCGTTAAGAAATAGAACAAATATGTTGTTTAGGTAAACATATCCAACTAGAGTTTTCAAACTTTTCGGTATGGTGATTGGATTTGTATAGTATAAATATCCAGATTAGGATATAAAGAAATGCAATATTTTCGATCGCAAGTCGCTTATTACTTACTTATAATACAAGTATATCTGTATAAAAACTTGTGATAACAAAGAATCATAGAAAAATAATAATATTAAAGGCATAACTATATCTAGTTTTAGAGTTTCAATAAAAAATAAATTTAAGGGCTAATAATGACATCTATTTGCATTATTATTAAACTATTTCCATACACTAGTCCCATAAATATACCGATTTAAAGCCAGTTAGAATAATTATAAATTGTTAAAATTGGAAATAAACTGAATTTAGGGAAGCTTTGACTATAAGTTGCATCGTAATGTATTTTGTTTTGTTGGTGGCAGCATTACAGTGTCCTATTTTAATTTTCGTACTCCACGTCTATTTGCATCATTTGCTTACCTATTCCATATCCTGCCTTGTCCCTCAGAAGACCAGAACGTCGACGATGATGATGGCAGCGCTGAGGAGAGTCGTCCGCTAGGTCGTCCACCGACAGGAGCTGTCAACTTGAACATCGAACGCACAGGCCGTGGCCAGGGAAGACCGAAAAAGAAGGCGGCAGTAAAAAAATCCGCCTGGAGTGCCGAAGGAGAGCCACCGAAGAAGCGCGGTCGTCCGGCAACTGGCAAGGCCGTTGGCCCCGTTCCCTATGTGCCCACGGGCCGTCCACGTGGTCGTCCGCCAGCGAATGACTCCACTGGCAGCCACGCTTACGTGCCCAACGGACGCCCACGTGGTCGTCCAAAGGCCAATGCCGCTCCAGCGAAACCGGCGGCCGTTGACACTGGTGATGATGAGGATGAGCAGGACGAGGACGAAGATAAGGAGTCCGTGGAGGTTCCGAGCTCACCCGAGAAGACGGCAGTAACGCCGAAGAAACGCGGACGCCCTTCGCTGGCCGCCAAGGATGGCGCTGCCAAGCCCCGTGGTCGTCCCACGAAAGTAACCAGCGCAGACGATGGCGATGACGCCGATTCCACCGACCAGGGCGAGCACAACAACTCGAAAAAGGAGTCAAACGATGAGGGACAGGCACGTCGTCCGGATGGAACTCCAACTAAGGGAGATGCCCTTAAGTGGAACTCCTCCGATGGTGACAACGATGCCAACGAGGATAATGTTTCGGACGTCTATAACGATGCCGAATCGGTAGCTGCCTAAATATTAAAAATACACATTTCCAACCACCCAACCAAAAGGAAACCTTAAGCACACAAGACCACAAAATACAAAAAATACCAGGAGAGAACTCCTGAGAACCTTCCCCCTCCTCGAACAACAAAAACGAACCATAACTACATGCATATTCTGACTTATTGCTAAGAAAACGTGTAACTCGGAAAATATTGTTTAATTTGATTTACATTTTCAAATAAATAACATATATGTCTTAGAGTATCCGGTATGTTTCTCTTTTGGGGAAGGTTCCAATGAAGATCATATAATTTTTACGGAAGGACTTAATTTATGTTAAAAAATGTAATTTGATTTGATTATTTGTAAATTAAATAAACATAAGATCTTAATGCGCGTTTCTTTCCTTTTGTTGGTGGTTATTAAAAAGGGAGCGGGACTTAACCAAACAATGTTGGCCCGGCCTAGCCTTTCATAAATTTCGGGTACTTTATTTTACATTTATCATACATAATCTGTCCTGTGTTCACTGTAATATTTTGTGGCATACATAAAAGCGGTCACACTGGACTGAAATTTGTATATATCTGTATTTAATAGTGATTTCAATAGTTATACACCAAATATAAGGCCCAAAACGGATGTTTCAGCGGAAGTCATTTTAATTTTATATTACTAAATATTATAATGCAATATTTTATTAAGCAACAGTAGATCTCTAAAATGCATTGACATTTTGAAATGGGGTAGTTTTTAACGGAATTCCGAATGATAAATCTTTTAGGATATTTTAATAATATATGAGTATTTTTCGGTACGTTTCGGTATGGTATATTTGAACGGTTGCCATGCGGTCACACTAAATGTTCGCGCGTAAGAAGAAGCAGACATAGAACGGCGTGCTTGTAATATGTAAATTTTTCAAATAAGCTAAGGTGTGTGTGGCCAACAACAACCAAACATGAAGAGTGCTAGAATTAAGTGATATAAGTGATAAATAGAACAATTTTTTTGCATCAAATCGGAAAAAACAAGAATCAAATTTGCTGGTGCAAAAAATTACCAATTGATAAAAAAAAAGCCGCAAACAAAAACAAAACAAACACCCTGGTGTGTGTATGTATGCGCGATTGTCCGGCTGGGTGTGTGTGTCTGCGAGCATGTGTTTGTGTGCGTCTGGCGTCTAATCAAATTTGGCATGCCCTAAAATCGATTGATAAAATAATAAACAATTTGGCTGGCGCAGCGTAAAATCATTTGTCAGGGTGAACAAAAAACAGGGGTGATAAAAGGACCAAAAGTGTGTAATCAATTTATATAAATATTTTGCGCGCATGTTAATAAAAGTAAAATAAATTGTCGGTCTTTTGCGCTCCCACTGCCTCTCTCTCTCTCTGTGAGCATGCCCACTCGCTCTCTCTGTTGATTTCGCACGTTTGCCAACACTGCTCTCATTTCGTGGTTCTTGTTCTCTCCTCTCTTTTCTTCGATCTTTGTTGTAGTTGTATTTGGCCAGTGTGTCTTTGCATTTCGCTTTTATTATCGTTCTGCGACGGACGGCGGCGACGTTGAAGAAATTCCTGGCCGATTTCTTCTTCATCATCCTGTGTAAATAATTGTAATTAAAATAATCTAAATTTCGTATTTAACGAAAGCACACACACCATCAAAGGAACTGCAATTGCGAAGGCTTTTTTAAGTGCATGTGTAAGTGTTCCGGAAAAGAAAAAACCGTAGAATACTCCTGTTTCGTTTTACATTGTCATCATCGGGTTTCCTTTTTCACAACGGCGGTTTGCTGCATGTGTGTGTGTTTCCAGACCGCTTTTTGAATATGCAAACATGTATAAATAGTTTGCGAAATTACTTGATATTTTGCCCGAAAAAGGTAAAAATCAATTATGTGTGTGTGAGCCTGAATATTGGATATAATTCCTTTTTTTGGTTGGTGAAATATTTTTCCGATTGTGCGTGTGTGCGAATGAGTGTTTCATTATTTCCTTATTTCATCGTGTTCTTCCTTTTTTTGAGCGGCGGCCATTTGACTGCTCTGCTTCTTCCTCCACTCCCCCTTCCACCTAGCTCTTGTGTGTGTGCGTGCTCTTTCTCTCTTTCTCTCGGGACGCCTTGCATTTGTATATATGTACGTACTTTTCCCAATAAGAACACTTGACTACTAAAATATTAAATTATTCGATGGGCTTTTATTATTAATGATTTGTTAGCCGCCGCGCCTCCTTTGTTTTTCAGGCATCTCTTTTATGGTTTATCTTTATGTTTGTTTTTATATTCCCAAGTGCGTGCGTGTAGGTGTGTGCGTGTTTCCAGGGGCCCAGCAATTTTACTCTCTCTCGCTCTCTATCCCTTTTCGCATGCTGCACTTGTCTCTCCGCCATGAGAGTGGCGTCGTTTTGTGGGGAGGCGGAAAAGAAGAGATGGAGATTCTCGTAAACAACCCAAAAAAAAAACCGACCCACTCGCATTCTTCTCGCTGAAAACGTAACCTCAAATGTTGCGGGCGCCTTTCGCCTTCCTTCGTCTTCGTTTCGTTTTCTTCGCTATTCGCTCATCGTCTGCCGGCATAGTTGCTGTTGTTGTTTTGACTCCTCTGTGTGTATGTTAATTTTATGTGTTTTCCATTTTCAACCGCCCCTCTTTCTTCACGCCCCACCACCCCCTTTACGCCTGCTGTCTTTGCGCTTTTTGTTTCCCTTTGCGGGGGGCGCTATAATTCTGTCCAGAACTTAACCAAGTACCAGATATGTATGTACATATATACTTGAGATCATTAAACCGAACGATGAACTAACTAGTTTTAAAATAAAATAAAAACCCCGTTTTGGATTTCTGTTTAGAATATTAAAACTGTAATATTTCCAAAGATTTCAAATTAATTAAAAAAAATCAGTTCTCAATAGAACATCAATATATAAGTTAAAGGGTATTCGTCTAATCGGTTTTTGAGCAAAAAATAATTTCATTTTCCCTATTTTTCGCGCATGATTCAGCTTTGCGTTGTTCTTCTATGGATAGTCTTCTTCTTCTTTTGTGACTTGTTCTTGGGACTCCTGTTCCTCAAACGACCCCGCCCCCTATTCTGCCCCTTTGCATCGACTTTGTTATTGTTTTCGTAATGAGGAAATCATGGCTAGTATTTGTCTTACTCGTCTTTCGGTTTTAGAAGAATTTATTTTGCTTTTATTCGCCCCTTGTGCGCTGTATTTTGTTGATTATTATTATGCGCCCTGTCTGCTGTATGTGTTATCGGATTCTTTTCTTTACCATGACCAGCTCAAAGTTTTTAATCGCACAAAAGTACAGTGGTACAAGAGTCTTTCAAGTGGAAATACAAATTGTATCTTATCTTCAGTCAGGAACCAAAGTTTCTATAAACTCTTTAAATTTGGAAAAAATATATGAAATATTTATCATATCCCAAAAAATGCTGAATTCCTAATTTTTTGTTTCACCAATTTAATTTTGATCACTTTTAACTAATCACGTTTTTCAATATATATCTCATTTCAGTTTGTGTATATTTTCATCATTAAAACGTCGTGTAAATTAAAATTCATCCTAATTATAATTAATAAACTACATTAATAAACGAAATTTCCACAATTCTCAAAAATCAATTTGTAAAAATTCAAGTTTTAACCAATTCTCATACGTAATTAAATAAAAAAAAAGTTCAGTTTTGTTAAGTCCCAAGAAACAACAGCTGTGCAACTGTGTAAAATATTATCAATAATTTTTGTGTAAATTTATGTAAAAAAAAAAACCAAACACGACAACCAAACCAAACGAAGAAAATTAATTTTTTTGAGCTAAGAGTGTATGAAAAAATCTCAGCAAAGCCTGTAAATTAAATGTTAAATATAATAAGCAAAAAGTGTGGTTTCTTTTACAACAAAAACAAGTGTTAATCCGGAAGGAAAAATTAAAAAAAAAAAGCTGAGAAGAACAATTTGTGAATTTGTTTCGAAAAGAATCGAGATAAGAACGCGCGTGTGGTGGTTGACTTAAATTTTTTAAAGTAAAACCAATCAAAGTTGGCAATACGCGCAAAATTGTCAGCTGCGATAGCTAGGAAAAGCCTCCAAAATTGAGCTCCTAACCGCGCCCACAATTGCCATATCGACGCCTTCGCCGCAGCAGCAGCAACATCAACAGCAGCATCAACAACATCAGCAGCAACAGCAACTCTACCAGCAACATCAGCAGCAGCAGCAACATTACGGTCCACCACCGCCCTATTTTCAACAACTTCATCAGCAACACCAACAGCAGCAACAGCAACACCAACAGCAGCAACACCAGCAACACATGAAGTTTTTGGGTGGCAACGATGATCGCAATGGCCGCGGAGGCGTCGGCGTTGGCACGGATGCCATTGTGGTAGGATCTCGCGGTGGTGGTGGCGTTTCCCAGGATGCCGCCGATGGCTATGTCTTCCAGCCACGCCCTTCGCCGGGCGGTGTGGGCGGAGTGGGGGGCGGTGTACCCGGCGTCGGTGCCGTGGGATCGACCTTGCACGAGGCCGCTGCCGCCGAATACGCCGCCCACTTTGCCCAGAAGCAACAGCAGACGCGATGGGCATGCGGTGACGATGGCCACGGCATTGATGTAAGTATCTATCCCAGATTTTCCCTTTTACTATTGCATTCGTCTATTCAAAAAATTTGTGAAACTCAACAGTCCTAAAAACCTTTTTATATGTTTTTTCTTGAAAAAGTGTTCTGAAACCATTTGAAATTTTTTTTTTGTAAAAAAGCAGAAAATATTGGGATTTTTACCATAATTTTAACATAACTAAAATCGCAAACAAAAATTAAAAATCTTAAGTTTCTAGAACAAAAAAAAGGAGTTTAATACATCCTTTAAATGGCTGGAAAAAAGCAAACAACGTGTTGTATAATGGTCTTTAGAATTTCACAAAATGAAGTCACTGAAAAAAGCTTGAAATTATTTAAAGTTAAGTGCCAATCAGCTTGCAAACATTTTCTATCAAAGATATGGTTTTTTGAGGTTTTTTGATTACATTTTTTGTAATTTAATTGAGAAGGCAATTTTCAATTTCTCTTCTCTTTTCGACAATTAATTTTCCGGTTCGGAACTTGGTCATTTTTGACTGAGTTGCTTCTTGATTCGTTTTTGCGGCGTCTCGATTTCTTTATTTGATTACTTCTGTCTCAGTTGACCTCCGCCGATTGTATAAGTTGCAAAGGTCGGTGTCTGCCAAAAATGGTTGCATAAACAGATTATAACAATTTGGCATTGAGACGGCAACCAATAAAAACATTAGAAAAGGATAGAAAAGTTGTAAGGAGTAAAATTTTTGTCTGAGAATTCCTTTAAATAAAAACAATTTAGAGCTTAAGCGGTAATATTACCAAAAATCTAAATTTGAATAAGTCAGAATGATTTCAGAAATTATAAATGTTTTCACCATTTCTTCATAATATAATTGAAGATACATTTTTATTAGATTCAGGTGCACACTTACAGAATCCATACAATTTTAAAATGTTTAATAATAAAAAATTTGCTTATAGAAATATATGGAAAATAAGTAGTCCGACCATTCTTGAATTGAATTAATTGAATTGTTTTCTGATCTAATTGTATCTCATCTCATTTCCACTTGCAGAACCCGGACAAATGGAAGTACAATCCTCCGATGAATCCGGCTAATGCAGCTCCAGGCGGACCGCCAGGCAATGGAAATAATGGTGGCCCCGGTGCCATTGGAACCATCGGCATGGGCAGCGGATTGGGCAGCATGGTGGGCGGAGGTGGAGGCGGTAGTGGGGCTGGAAACAATGGTGTTTCCGGCACGAATGGTGGCATGCATCATCCATCGATGGCCGCAGCAGCAGCCAATATGGCCGCCATGCAACAGGCAGCGGCGGTGGCAAAGCACAACCACATGATGTCGCAGGCAGCAGCCGCCGTTGCTGCCCAACAGCAGCAGCAACATCCTCACCAACAACATCCCCAACAGCAGCAGGCACAGAATCAGGGACATCCGCATCATCTAATGGGCGGTGGCAATGGGCTGGGCAATGGCAACGGATTGGGCATCCAACATCCCGGCCAGCAGCAGCAGCAACAACAGCAGCAGCAGCAACATCCCGGCCAGTACAATTCGAATTTGCTGAACCATGCCGCTGCCTTGGGTCACATGTCATCTTATGCCCAATCCGGAGGCAACATGTACGATCATCACGGTGGAGCCATGCATCCGGGCATGAATGGTGGCATGGCCAAGCCCCCGCCATTGGGTCCTCCCGGAGCCGGAGGACCGCAGGATTACGTCTACATGGGTGGCCAGACTACGGTGCCCATGGGCGCAGCAATGATGCCGCCACAGAATCAATATATGAATAGCTCCGTGGTTGCGGCCGCCAATCGGAATGCAGCGGTGAGTAAAATGTGAATTTGTTCTCAAAAAACGGAGGAAAATATGCTACTTTATGCCATTTACCTTTGATTGACCTTGGATTCAACCGATAAGCGATATATTAATCAGTTCTTCGATTATCTCGATATCCAACCCTAGATATGGATTGTTCATACACCAAATATTCATTTCATTACAAAAATTGCTTAATAGATAATCAGATTTGAGTTGACGATAAAGTAAAGTCTACTTTGAAACAGGGGGTGATAATTTTTCAGAAGATGACTCATTTCAGTTGAATTTTATTAAGACAGGATATCATTGAATTATTTTGTGATATCGTTACTCATCACACCCATCTCGGCTATTATTCGGTGTTTATTTGAAGACCTCAAACTTAATAGTTGACCATTAAATAGAAAAAACCAACTCAACGAAATTGCCGAAAAAGAGTCGTCACAAAAAGTTATTGCTAAGTGG